ACAAGTGGTCCCACTTAAAATCCGGCCTTCTAGACAGAAGTTACGTGCACGGTATATTATCTGAACTTTCGTACCAGAATAACTTCAATAATCACACCGAACTCAAGGCACCACCAAAGCAAAACCTCCACCCGTGTGTTCAAGACTTCCAAAACATCCACCTGCTGTTAAAATTTAAAAATGAATTCTAACAACATCATTTCTGCACTGTGGACAGATCAGACTAACCGCCCAACCACAGAGGCATACTCGATTAATACAAGAAATTTATTTGTAACACTAAAAAGCTCCAGCTCCGCCTAAATCAACGTGCAGGCCATATACAGAACACGGCGACATCTCAGTTACCACTTGTTGGGGGGAAAATCGCTATTTTTCCCGCCCTTCGGGGATCGGGCTTCAAGCAGGAACAAACTGAGGAAACATAATAATTCAATGACCGTCGAGAAATTAAACGAAGACAGCACAGAATTTTAACGTGGAAAACCCCCCAAGTGGAGAAAAAACAGGCGGGACCCGTAGCCCCAAACGACAATTCAAGAAAAATATTCACTTATGCGGCAAAATTGTTACAACGCACAATTACAAAATATTCTTTCTACTCGACAGCCCTTCAAAACACCCCAAATATTTTTATACTCCAAGGGACTCCAAGCGACGTCCAAGAGACTTGCTGCCCTCAAATCGCTAATATAAACATATATCAAGTGTTTTTGGTCCGCTGTGTTTTGCGTTGGTGTATGGAAACCAAACATCTGTCTTCCCATTTTATAGCCAAGTATGGAAACCTAAACATTGCTTCCATTTTATAGCCAAATCACTACCTTCACTTTGCTTATCTCCCCGATGTGGGATTAAGCAAAAACTAATTTTTTTAATATTTTTTTTCGTTTGTTTTCAACAACGGCGGCTAACATAAACAAGCTCCTCTATATAAAGATAGAAAGAAAGGGAAGGAAATGTTAAGTGGGGTAAAAATAAAAAATAAAAAAGGGAATAATTTGCATAAGAAAGATTCCACTTTGATGCAGAATTATTCATCTTTTTACACTTATTTTTTTGTGTTTTCTTATCTAACTTTATGTTACGTGGGTCATGTTGGAATAAAATTAGATGGATTGGAGAGAAAAGAAAACTCTAATAGAGTCTTTGTGATCAAGGGATGATGTTAATTAATGAAAATTCCTACTAGAGTCTTTGTCATCTCATCTCATCCTTCGGAGATTGCTGTTAACAGACCTTGATATTATAACAGAAAGTGCAGAGTATATAATATTCTTTTTATAAAGTATCTGATTGAAAAAAAAAAATAAAAAAAAGTAAAAATACCTAAAAGAACAATTTGTTTATTGTTAATGTGATGAACCTTCACCCATAAGGCATTGTGAAGGTCAATTAAGAGGACAAACATCTTATACCCTAAGAACAAAAGAGACACTCTCTCTCATACATCAGACCTATTTTAGAATATTCACCAAATTATATAATACAAAAGGGTAGATTGGATCTGTTGATTGTGCAATGAACACCAAGTAATTGTATAGTAAAATTATTATTATCTAATAGGGTTATGTTTACATGTCGCTATGGCTTCAGCTTTTATAAAGACAGAACTATTACTTTGAGTTGGCAATGTTACCCATCTTTTCAGCCACTACTGGACCAATTATACAAGCTTTAGTTTTTATTTTTAGCTGCAAAATACTCATCACTCATCTCTGTCCAGTTAGCACAAATCAGAAATTTAGTAATTTTTATGATTTCTCAAGTGTTAGACAATGCATGAACAAAGAAGATTCATGCATTTTATATAAGAAAAATTATGTTTAAATTAATGGAATGTATATATTTAATTGTACTTTTTGAAAATATTTAAATTATATATTACAATTTACAACATAAATATATATAATTATAAGGCAGTGGTCAGCAAAACTACTATATTATACATGATTTATGATTCATTGGGTTGGTAATGTCTTTCCCACATGCCCAATCCTTCTTTCAAACCCAAAAGGTATATACAGAGGTGATGTGTGCAAGTGCAAAAGATGCATTTGCTCATTCTATGTTTTGTTTTATTTGTCTTTGAGAGGAAGGAATAAAGAAACTCTCTCTGATAAGGGAAAGGGGACAAAAAAATAACAAAAGGGAAAAAAGCAACATTGGAGAAACATGGCCTCTATAGCTAGCTAGCTACTTAATTGCTAATCACCCAGTTAGACAGATATAATATATATATATATATATATATGTTATCTTCTATGATTTATAGAACTTAAGTATTAAGCTTGTTTATGATTATGCTGCCACGTTGTTTTGAAAACTAATAATTACTGACAAAATTAAAAACTATATAACAAAAATTAAAGTTATATATGTATTAAATCTCTCCAAATTTTCGGTATGAATGCGCACAAGATAAGCAGGAGGTAGAAGCAGGCTCAAGAATCTGAACTTCTGGCTATAACAATTGGAGATAATATTAATAGCACATGCTGTTAGGTTTCGCATGATTATAATTAACTTCAATTTCGCAGAACACACACCTAAAAACACTTGGAAATATGGATTATATTATGGTCAATTAGGGCACATTTAGATAGTCCAAAGTCCCTTCTTTTCATCCCTCATGAGGAAGTGGTTACTAGTACGCCAGAGGTTGATGGTGCAAAAGGTGCAAAAGATGAGGCACCCTTGCTGAATGTTCCTTGGAGTGTAGTTAATAATTGAGTTGGGTAGTTTTGGTTCTTTGGAGATGAGGGAAGGATAAAGAAACTCTCTTCTGATAAAGGGGAGAGATGGGGGTCGAGCAAATTAGAAAAAAATTAAACAATTATATATGTGAGGAGGGAAAATAATGTGAAGTAGCCAACAGTTGGATGTTAAAACAAGCTCTTTCTATAACCACGGCCGTAGCCATCAATTTGTAGAGAATTCACTATATTTCTACCCCTCTAGTTTTAGAACAGATTTTGTATTTTAATACGTAATATATATTTAGGTACATAAATCTAAGTTTTGGTTTAGGCCAAGGAACCCATCGTGCTGTCTGTGGTTTTTATTCATTTACCAAACTTTATAGAAGAGTGGAGTTATATCCAACAGACTTAATGCAATATCGTGTTCTCTTTAAACTTTTTCTGGCGAGGTCAATTGATATATTTAGGTTTCATTCCTCATAAATAATTGTTTAACCAGGAACCTATGAAACGGTTTGTATGATTAGTAGCGGCTCTATTCCGAGATACTTTGCCTCTCATGGGTGTTTGATAACATTATTTTGTCTTTGCTTTTTTCCTTACGACAATTCTATTCAGTGCGTGCCCTCAATCAAGTGTTACGACTCTTTACCAGGGAGTTGTGATAGGTATGTGGAGCGGATTGACAGTGGCGGTCTATTAACTATATATGCTATCCAAATGGTGAATTTCTATGCATAATTATTATCATTTAGAGGCTAACTGCATCCACTCCAGTTGTTTTGGCGGGGAGACATAATAGGGTTGGAAATGGTCCATTACTGATTCTATGCTCCCACTTTTTACCACCTTTATCAGTGTATTCATATACTGTTTTGCATATTACTATAATTCTATTTTTATAATTTGTTTACTTCTTTAAAGTCGAGTGTAGGAGTTTTGGTTAAAGTTACATTGAATAAAACAGGGGTGGTATATATATAAATTAGTTATTTTGCTTATTGGAATCTAGATATATGCTATATTGTGTAAGTATTAATATACAAGGTTGGCTTTAAAAGCAACTGCATGAAGACAGATGGCTTGATGCCTTCGCAGAAAACAGGCCAAAATGAGTGAATGTTCCGTATGCGCTTGTGGTGTTTTAATCGTGATACCTTTTATGGATCTATTGAAGCTTTATGTCTGCCTTCTTTGACTAACTCTTTAAAAAAACTTTTTGGTTCTCTATATAAACAGATATATGAGTTACTCGCATTCTATCTTATATTAACAACATTTTGCCAGAGTTCTGATTTTGAGATTGATACAAGGGTCCGCGTGCTTATTTTTAACGCAGTGATGAGGTGTTCTGAGGCACTATATTAGTGATAATACCTCATACTTTTTACAAGGATAAATTTACAATTTTTAAAAACTTTAGTTCCATAAATGGAATTTAATATTCAGAATGGGCCACCCGTTCATATAGAAGGATTTATATCGTAGGAAAATATGGTACTCTGTCTAGGAGATCATTGATCTTTCCTGCTGTAGGGTTTATTGCCGGTATATATATAATTAAGTGGCTTTAAAAGCAACTCAAAAGACAGATGGCTGATGCTCCAAGAAAAGCCAAAATGAGGCATGCCTGTTGTGTTTTATATATACCTTTGGCCTGGCCATTTTCTCTCTTAAAAAACTTTTGGTCTCTATATATAACAGATAGATTTCATTATACAATTCATTTGATTTGATTGATTTACGGCTTGTTGTAACCTAATGATGTTCTGAGAATAATATATATATTTTACAAGATAAATTACATTAAAACTAGTTTTCCATAAATGGAATTTAAGTATTCATGAATTGGGTTGGCCACTGTAATTAAAATATTAGTTGGTAATAATGTAATGGTTCTTTTCTTGGGGATTATTAAAGCTTCTTATACAATTAGGGTTTGGAAATCAACCAATAATAAAAGTGAAAAAGAAACAATACAACATGTGGATGATTGAGAAATCACATGATGATATATATAAAAGAATATCTAATGGAAATGAAACTAAAGTTTAATTCTTGAGGTTCTTATAATGGAATTCAAGAATATCCAACCCCTAATGACATGAACCCTAGATGACAGGTAAGCTAAAGAAGACTGAGCTGTCAGCTTTTGATTGGTTTGTTCTTTCTTGACAACAACATCTGTGAAATGGAAAGCACGATATGTCTGTGGAAGGTGGTGAGCTTATTCTGTTTGAACTTGTAGATCTGACTCAGACGATAACTTTCCTTTATTATCATAAATATTTAAATTAATGGTTAATTGATATTCTAATAAGGCTTAACAAATACCCTTTTAATAGTCTCAGATGTGTGCCTTTTTGTTTAATATATAAAGCTTACTACCTTCATTTGCATCATTTCTATATCTCCATCTTTGTAACTTCTCTTCTCATACATACAAAAAAATCTTACAATGGAAGATCAGTTTACAAGAAGGGACACTTTCATGTGCAAGGAATTTCCTGGTTATAGTTTTCATGAAGGATCAAAATATTTTGATGATCAAGTCATTTGGACAAGAACTAATGACATTAACAACGGCAGCATGAAATCATCAATCACGAGTTCTGATTCGAGTTCATCGGTGGAGGAGGCGGAGGCTTCAGGTACTAATAATTTGATTGGTAATATTCCTGGATTTATTGAACAGGATGTTACCAAACAAAAACATGCAAATTCTTTTCTTTCAGGATTCAATTCTATCAATATGAATCAAAGATCTTCAATTGATCCTGTAAATTTCTTGGAGTCTTTTCCAAAAATAAGCCGATCCCAAATATCTGAACCATCTTCCCCATCAAAATTTCCAAATTTAACTTTGTTTTTGCAAGAACCCAATAATTCATTTGATCCAGCAAAACAAACTACTCATCACGAGGATCAAAAGTTTGAGCCTATGTTACTATTTCCAAACGCTTCATTTTCTTTACCCCAACTAGGGCAAATCCATACTCAGGAAAACCAAGAGTGGCTAAAAATAAATCAAACCCTAACAAATTACTCTACCAAAGGGTTTAATGATTATTGGCTTGGCACTACAAAGACGCAACCGATGAAATACACTGGCCGGAGATTGCAGAATCAGCAGCAAAAGCCTAGTTTATCTTCGCCGGCCGGGAAGTTATTTAGAGGAGTTAGACAAAGGCATTGGGGCAAATGGGTTGCAGAAATTAGGTTACCAAGAAACAGAACTAGGGTTTGGTTAGGCACTTTTGAAACAGCAGAAGAAGCTGCTATGGCTTATGATACAGCAGCTTATATGTTACGTGGAGATTATGCACATTTGAATTTTCCAGATCTTAAGCATCAACTACAGGCTAATTCTTTAAATGGGTCAACTATATCAGCTCTTCTTGAAGCAAAATTACAAGCAATATCTCAAGGCAACAATAATATTTCTGGTCAAAAGAAGCACATTCTTGATCCATCACCGCCAACAACATCATCAAACAAGGATTTTGGCGAAAACCCACCAAGAAAATTAGATGGTTGTGATTATGAAGTGATTAGTGAAAACAAGAAAGCTCATAATCATCATCAAGAAGTTTTAGCATCTGATGTAGATGCTGTTCAGTTAAGTAGAATGCCTTCTTTGGATATGGATATGATCTGGGATGCTTTGTTAGTCTCTGATTCGTGACAATTGAATCTTCATTTTCACATTTTCTCTGAATTCAATCAAATCGAGTATAATTTCCAAATTTCCTAGAGTTAATCATAGATATAAGTTCATGTTTGGTACTTATATTTCTACCTTGAATAGCATATACCAATTCTTGTTTTTATGTCCCTTTTGATTATTAGGAAACTGGTTTATTTATAATTGATTTACAATTTAGGATCTACATCCAAATTTATCAAATGATTTGTACCATACATTTCTCTATTTTTTGCAAGTTTTTGTTTGTGGTGCGGATTGTTTTGCATTGATATTTGAGTATTGAATTATAACCTAATTATAACCTAATTAACTTTGCAGTTTGATTCACTTTTTCTATTTTTTTTTTTTTATTATTTTGACTTTTAGATTAGTAGCAGCCATTGCTAGATTAAAGTACAATTAATATGGGGTGGAAGATGCATTCTTGGTTTATTGTCCTTGTCCAAAGTCAAAAGGCTCATAAAAAAAAGAGAAAAAAAAAAAAAAAGGGGCTAGGAGCATTTCTTGTGTTATTGTCCCTTGTCATAGTCTAACAAGCTCATAAAAAAAAAGAAGAAAAGAAAAAAAAAAAAAAGTCATTGTGGGGTAAAAAAAAAAAAAAAAAAAAAAGTCATTGTGGGGCAAAAGTTTTGGGTGCATGATAATCTTTAAGTTTGGTCGGGCATTATATATGAAGAAAAATTCTTTTTGACAATGACGTTTTAGTAATAAAACACTATATGTGTAGACAATATAGCAATAAAATCAATTAGTTGAGCAAATTTAGGTTCATTTCAATTCAAATCCCTTTGACGTTACCACCAACCTCCATTTATTCATGATTGACTCGTGAGCTCTAACCCTTTTTGTCTTCAATCAAAACTTGAAAAAACCCAAAAAAAAAAAAAAAAAAAAAAATATAGAAAAAAAAAAGAAAAAAACCACACTCCTCCCTGAGTATTGGTAATTTTAAAAAAAAAAAAAAAAAAAAAAAAACTCCCCAGTATGTAATTTTAGGCTATTTGCTCGCTCCAATCCGTTTATATTAGACGAGTTTGGTAATGAATACTTGCGGATACTCTAATTATTATTAAAAAAATGTATTTAAAATGAATTTGGGACGCATATAAATAATAAATTTGAAAATGTTTTAAATATAAATATTATATTTAAATAAGTTTAAACGGATATAGATAATAAAATTCTAAATGAATATAAATACAAGTAGCTTAAAATTGGCAAGTTACTCGCCAGGTTCCATCCCTACCCAGGTCTAGATCTTATCATGGGTTGGGGAACCCGCCCAACCCTCTTGATAAAAAAAAAAAAAAAAAAAAAAAAGTTAAAGCAATTTTTTCTGAGCCTAAGCCCGATTTTTTTATAGTCAAGTCAGATTGGGAGTGTATACAGGGCAACAAGGTAAAACACACATGGGGATCTGCTAAAGCCCGCGAGTACTATGGATGTGGATTGAGTGGGGCTACTGGGCCAGGCCCAATTTCAACATAAATTTTCAAAATTTTTTTTCAAGCTTTAGAGTCTACCTAGAAGCAGAAAACCTAAACTAACCCAATGAGATCATCAATGTAAGCCCATCAACTAAAGCAAAGCCCAATTACGCATAATATAAATAGCTTAGGATATATGTATATATACACTTTTTTTTTTTTTTTTTTTTTTTTTTTTTGAAGTATCTGGGGGATAGGGGGCATTTGAACTTTATGAAATTTCATTAGAATTTAAGTCAATGTAAATTAAGCAGTTTATTCCCAATCCCTTGTACGTCAAAAAAACAATAGTAGCACTCACTGAAAACATCCAATTTAGGAATTGTATTTATTTTTTTTTTTTTTTTTTTTGAGTATTGGGGGAGAGGGGGATTTGAACTTTATGAAATTTCATTAGAATTTAAGTCAATGTAAATTAGCAGTTTATTCCAATCCCTTGTACGTCAAAAACAATAGTAGCACTCACTGAAAACATCAATTAGGAATTGTATTAAATCATAGGCTGAGATGCAATCAGAATGTTCTCCCTACAAAACTGCCAGAAGCCAGCCAAAACTTCTGCACCTCCCTACATAAACACTGACACTAATTTTCACAGCATGATTAAGTGGAAAAAAAAAAAAAAAAAAACAAAATGTTAAGTTCTAGACAAAAAAATGAAAATATCAAGTAAAAAGCTACCATAAATAGTATTTTAGCCATGATTTAGCAATGCTATAAAGAACATCAAGAGTAAATCCTACTTGTTTTTTTGTAGAGAAAATTCATTGTCCTTGGCCTGCTACTTTTTCTTTCTCTGTCTCAATTAGAATATTTTCCAAGTTTTCGACGTTTCCAACCTTCTCAGTCCCCACATCTCCAATATTCTCTTCTCTATTCCACAGTTCGAATGCTGCTGCCTCGACCGAAGTAGTCATACCCATACTGTTACCTGTATGAATGTTAAAATCCACTCCTAAAGATTGTTCTCTATCCAAATCCTTTTCTGCAGTTTTATCATCATCCTCAGAAGCACTTTCACCAGAACTACTCTCATTATCCATAGTATGCAGGGAGTCTCCGCCTTCTGTTTCATCAGCCTTCACATCAGCCTCCACCATATCTACATCCTGTTCAGGCAACCATTGCTGTAGTGGAACTGCATCACTAATAAGTCGCCCCGTTCTTAATCTTTCCCTGTAATCCTCCATTTCTATTCTGTATCTTTCTTTATCTTTAATGGCTTTCTCCTGATAAACCTGATTAACAAAAAGCATCATGAATGTTACAAACAGCTGGAACAAATGTAAAATGACAGTGAAATATGAAATACAATGTATTTCTTAGTGCCAGGTTCAGTCGAGCTTGCCACCAACTGAGGCATTAAAATAATCGATTGTAATATAATTATAAGAAAAAGGCAAAAGGTAAACGAAATATATATATTTCTTACTGCTTTTTCAGATTCTTTTAGCTTGTTCCATAGTTCACCAATCATCCTACTAATCTCTCTGTCCTTTCCTGGGTAAAGGGGCTTCAATCTTGCATGCTGTTCAGCAAAGAAGAAGTTATAGCCACTTCTATTTGGCTTTGGATGAGCAGGATCCCTCCTTTTTATCTCATTTTTCTTTCGGCGGCGACGTTGTGTGCCTGATACAGTACGAGCATTACCAATATTGTTGGCAGAGACATTATAATGCTGTGGCATTTGGCATGATTGGTTCTGAGGTGCCTGATAAAGAACACCTTTGAGCTTCTCTGTCCCTATTGTGACAGTAACAAGATACCCACTCTCAAATTTCCCATCAATCACCCCTATAACTTGAGAACTTCCAGATGATGCTGCCACAGAAACATACATATTAAAAAGGAGGAAAAACTTGCTAAACAAAAATTTAATAAAGCTGCAAACTTTACTTTGAATATTAGTGATTTTGTAGCGTGTGGATGAAAACAAGTTTTTCTTTCCTCCACTATTTTGTAAATTCAAAGAAGATAATGTAAAGTACAAAGGGGAAACAATAAAAAAAGGAATACTGGCTTGAGAAAAATGAAAGAACATGAGTTTGAGCAAGGAAAAGAGACCTCCACACAGCTCTGCAGTGTTTGTCCTTTGATGCTGGGATGTAGCTGCTTGATATTCAGGTGATGGCTGCACTGTTATTTGTGCAGGAAATCGTGTTGCCATTGGGCTCTGCAATGGGACTACAAAAATATGCATTCTATTAATATGAACATTTATGAAAATATATCAAGCAAATGAGCAATGAACATACCAGATGAGCCAGGAGTCCAACCCCGGGCTTTAAAAAAGTAAAGCTGTTCATAGTGGTGAAGCAAGGAACCATAGTACTTGCGAAGTACAAATGACGCGTTTGTAGCAGTAGAAGGAAAATTGAAAATTGCAGTAACTTCCTTCCATCTTCTCTCTCTAATAATCTGCAATTCCATCCAAATAATTGGAATTACATGACCATGCTCATCAGTATTAAACATAAGGAATGAAGAACAATATGTCACAAGCGCACAGTTTATAACTTCATATTTAATCAATTTCAGTGGTGGGCTGTCCAAAGAACATATCATGCACAAAGTTGGTGGTACAGAGACATGTCATTTTGTTATTGTCACTGCAAGTTAAAGAAACAGAAAAATCTAAATTCCAGAGAATTTGGCATACATGGCCATAACACTTGGAAATATCACAAGGAAAATGGAGTAGATATTGTCTCTTAAAAGCCTAAAAAAACATATCAATTTTCCTGTTTTAAACAATTTTATGGAAACATAAATTCCAACAGAAGCATATTAGAGGTCCATGTAAACTATAAGCAAAAGCTTCTATATTGATGTAGTAGGCATTTTTAGCAGTAAGATAATTCGGCATCTTTATCAATAAAAGAGACATCACAGACATAACCTTGAATCTAAACTCACCTATTCATACAAAGCTTATTACCAATCAAGTTAAACAAAAAATACAGCAACTAATGAATTTCTCATATTACCTTCTCAAGACCACCACGTGCAGTCACCTCCACAAAGAGCCGGTGCAAGTCCAACTCCCTTCCTCCTATAATGGGAATCCTAAAATCATAGGCAGAGTATGTTAGAGCATACTTGCATAATCCCATATCAAGATAAAGCTGATGCATATCTCTGTGAGGTGCTTTAATAGAATAGACTTCACAATTTAAGCCATACATACTTTCCAATCCCATTCTTGAAATAGAACTCACGTACAGAAAGTATAATCATAATGCTAGCTACGCAACAAACAAATAAGCCTTACACACTTTGTTCAAGCAAATTTCTTGACAGGACACATCAATTGTTAGCATCCAATGTTTACTGTTTCTTTACCTATTATCAAAGGATGATATAGATATAAAAAACAACCAACATGATATCTGGTGTCCTGTGACTAGACACAAAAATTCCTTTTTATCCCAGCAATTTCATTAACCTATCATAGGTAACCACTAATTCTTCCTTAAGGATCCATACAAATTAAGATTCTTTAATTAACATCTTTTAGACCAGAACATTGGTTCTTCTAGAGTAAAATCACTGGCTTACAGAAAAGGAAAAATAATATGAACAAATTGTGGACAAAGAAAGAAAATTTCACCATCGAAAATTTCTAAATAAAGTTCGTAGTTAGCTAGTCAACTGGGACCAAATATAGGAACATTATTAGAGTCTTTGTTAACTTTAGACATGTTCAGAAATTGGAGTGAGAACACAGTAACTTTGATCTTAAAAGCATAAATATGACATCAAAAATTACAGAAGGGTATCCAATCACATTACACTCGATAAATCAAAAACATTTTCAAGAGCCAGTAGCAGCAATCACCAGCAAAGACAATTTCAAGCCTACAGTAAGTAGTACGTAGACACAGTAATTTTTTGCTTCTCGACCAACACATTGCTACTTGAATTTAAAAAAACAGGACCCTTACATTTATTATGAGAAGGTTTGGAATGAGGCCTTAAAAATAGGCATGGGGAAAGGCGTTATGAAGCTTACATAAACTTGGTTCCCATAGAAGCATGGAGCTTCTCCAAAGTAGCCATGAAGAGCTTAGGATTGGCAGTAACATCTTCATATCTTGCCAGAGGTGCTGGGTATTGAATATAGTTCATAACTGGTTCTTTCATAAGCACTGTGCTCTGCTTGGCACAAGAAGTTGATGCCATTTCACACTCCACTATTCAACCATCAAACACCTGTCTACTATTTTACTCTTGTCGCTGCCCTACAGACAAATATAGAAGGACGGAAACAAATCAAGAAAAGAAAAAGGGAAAGAAGAAAAAGTTCAGAATCAACAAACAAATCAAAATTGCAGATAGAAAAACAAAAAGTTCATGAAAAGCCAAAAACCCAATAGATAGAGACAAACCCACACAGGAAAAGGTGGAGCGAAGTTTATTTAACAAGCCAAACGTTAGCTATTAATAATGGAGATTGCAGTTGAGAAAACAGATTAAAAATTTAAAATATACTAGCAAATAGAAAAAAAAAAAACTTGATGTTCGTTAACGACCTCAGTTGATGTAATAACTCCCTGTAAGAAGGAAGAGATTCAATGCCCTAGAAAAGCAAATGGAACGTTAAAGCTGCCATTAGCCATGTATTCATCCAGAGGCCTCAGCTGGATGTAACATCTAAAAGAGCCCATCAGAGCCAAGTTCAGACCTTTCTTATAGACAGAGACCAGAAGAGTTGACACTTTTTTAGACTTTTACAATAAACACCCAGATGCTTAAAAAGTCCATCTTTTCTCCCTCTTAAAGCACACTTCACAGGCCTATATAATGCTATATTAGCAGCAGCTATTTCCTTGTCTGACATTCTAAAGATATTCTGACATCTAAAGGGTATTGCAAATATGCAATAAAATTATGTGATGGAACATATATATAAATATATATACACACATATACGGGTAAATACAGTACAAGTCCTCTCCTTCCTTCATTATCTTGTTCATATCTGACACTGTTTCAGAGTTAAAGATAGACATAGAAGATACCATGGATGGTGGGGTTTTTGTGGGGCAAGTTGTCCATCAGCCAACAATATCACCCAACAAAAAAATAATAATAATACAAAAGAAAGCCTTAATATAAACCCAAAAATAACCAAAACCCACCTTTGCCCAAAAGACCACCTTCTTGAAAGTTCAAATCAGAACTGTACTCTTCTTTTCTCTTTAATGGAGGATAAAGAAATATAACAATAGAAATAGAAACATTAATTGCCCATAATAGAAAAAATAATATGAAATACAAGACTAAACTGTTCCTTATTTAATTTTATTTTCCCTTTTCCCCTAATGTGAATAAACAATATATTGTCATTCTGGTCATTATTATGTTTATTGTTTTATACGTATATGATAAAAAAGAAAATAGAATGAAAAAAACCCAGATAGAGGAATGACAGATATCAGAGTTTAAAATAAGCAAAATACTTAAAACAATAATTAGAAAATGATTATATAAAAAAGGGACTTACCCACAGTGAGAATAGATAGGCAGAATTGAGCATGCAAATATGAAATGACAATATAAGAGAGGCTGCTTAAGACTAAACCCTTATTAATAAACAAAATGAAGAGATTATATAAAATATATATATGTGTATAAATATTTAATCTCTTTCTCTATCTCTAATTCTCTATTTGATAATTTTTGTATGGCGATAAGAAATTGCTGAGAAGAAGAAAAACGAAGCCCAAATCTATCTAATAAAATGAATTTACATATTTACCCTCGTTAGCTTTTGCTTCATATCTAAATGATGGAGGGTATTTTTGGGATTTTGGGAAACAAAGAGTGGTGGTGGCTCATATCATGAGCTAAAAATGGAAAATAATAAATTAAAAAAAATATATAGTAAATATATGAGATGATAATGTAATTTTTAGAAAAAAAACATAATAATAATAATAATTAGCAATAAATGGTTAATAATGGTGGTGGGTATATTAATGGAAGTTGGTGAAAATGGAGGTTTGGAGTTAAAGAGATAGATTTAACCAAATAAGTAGCAAAACGTGTCCTATTGACTTCCCGATTGAAACGGCACTAACCCCTTTTTAAATTTTTAATTTTATTAATTAATTTTCATGGAATATCCCAAAGTGATAAGGAAAAAATAATAAATGAAAATGAAAAATGAAAGGGTGAAAATGTGAGATATGGGTGCCGTAACATTAGCTGCCTTAATATGTAATTAAGGCATTTAAACACTTTTAGAATAAGTCCCATCAATCCCATAATTCTCTCTACCTCTCCAAAATGTCTATTAATCTCCTTATTTTAGTATATGCTTAATTGCCTATTATTCATTATAATCATCATTGCCACCAACCTTCCTTTGCTTCTTTTTGAGATTATGGTAAATGGGTTTTTTTTTTTTTTTTTTTTTTTTTTTTTTTTTTTTTTTAGAAAAGTCCCATCAATCCCATAATTCTCTCTACCCTCTCCAAAATGTCTATTAATCTCCTTATTTTAGTATACTGCTTAATTGCCTATTATTTATTATAAAATCATCATGCCACCAACCTTCCTTTTGCCTTTCTTTTGAGATCATGGTTAAATGGGGTTTTTTTTTTTTTTTTTTTTTTTTTTTTTTTTTTTTTTTGTCAATTATGGTATTTGGGAATTAGGGTTTTTTTTTTTTTTTTTTTTTCTCTTGGTATTATTGTTCTTGTAAGGTTAGGCAAGCGTTTGGTAGGTTTTGTGATTTGGATTCCTTTTTGCTGAAGTAACACTTGTTGATTCATCAACCTTTTCTTTGTAGTTCTTGTATTTTTTTTTTTCTGGTTTTTTTTTAACTTTTTTTTTATTTTTTTCTTTTTTTTTTTTTTTTTACTTTTTTTCTTATTTTTTGTTTTTTTATTTTATTTTTTTGTTTTTTTTTTTTTATTTTTATTTTTTTTCCTATTCTTTTTTTTTTTTTTTTTTTTTTTTTTTTTCTTTTATTATTTTTTATGTTTTTTTTTTTTTTTTTTTCTTTTTTTTTATTTCATTTTTCTTTTTTTTTTTTTTTTTTTCTTTTTTTCTTTCTTTTTTGTTTATTTTTTTATTTTTTAATAATTATTTTTTATTTCTTTATTTTTTTTTTTCTTTTTTTTTTTTTTTTATTTTTTTTTTATTTTTTCTTTTTTTTTTTTTTTATATATTTACTTTATTTTTTTTTTTTTTTTTTTTTTTTTTTTTTTTTTTTTTTTGTCAATTATGGTATTTGGGAATTAGGGTTTTTTTTTTTTTTTTTTTCTCTTTGGTTATTGTTCTTGTAAGGTAGGCAAGGTGGTAGGTTTTGTGATTTGGTTCTTTTTGTGAAGTACACTTGTTGATTCATCAACCTTTCTTTGTAGTTTGTATTTAAAGTTGGCAAATTTATGTGTATTCCTTTTAAAAATAAATAATTAATAATAGTATATTTTCCTCAAAGATAAGACTTTGAAATCAAATTCCTCATCCCCTAATTATCAAAATCAATGTTTGAATTCACATAGGGCTCTTGTTTAATTTATTTGATTGTGTAATTTTGAGATGATAAACATAATTAAAGTTTTCTTTTTTCAATTTTTGGAAATGATTGTGTATATCTAATAATCCATTTTATTGTTTTATTCCGAAAAATGTTTTATTTCGAAAACAAATCCCTTTTATTTTTACTATTTTTAAAATTTATATAAATACATTCTAAAATTAATTTGCACAAATCTAAATTTAAATTTAGTATGACTTTTATTGAAAGCTAAAAATACCTAATTCTCACATGCCCTTTTTTTCGTTGCTTTCACTCCACGACAGGTCGTTCAAAAGTTGGGTTGCATCTCAGAACTTTTATGGGCCTCGCAAAACCCGGTCCAGCCCTTTATCAACCAAAAGATAGGCCTTTTTAATAGGCCCACAGAAAAGGGACCTGATGCTGATATTCTAAAAGCCTATTAGCGAGGGAGTAACCGTTTTCAGCAAAAGCGAATAAACCAATTCTTTGTTTTTTTGGCGCTCGGTTTGGTTTTATAAAAACCTTAAAAATCAAACTGATTTAACTCAAAAATCAAATCAAAGCCGAACTGACTTGATTCAATCTATTTCGCAATTTGATTTGGCCCAATTTTCTTTATAAAAAAAAAAATATATATTTCTTCCATTTTTTCTTTGTATTGGTTTGATTCGGTTTGTACTGAATTTAGTGAATGTTTATCACGAATAACAATACATTATTTTTAAATAACGATGGAATCACTCAATCATTATTGTAATTATTATTTAATTTATATTATTTTAATAAAAAACACAAAATAAATTGTCATTTGACGAATTGTTCTCAAAAAAAGCAAGTGATTAAGAGAAAAAAATAAAGAAGAGAAAATATGGCGTAAGCATGCACAAAAACCAATCAATGGAATTTGGATCACTTCGTTGACAAGAAAAGGAAGCCATTGTTATATACCAGCAAAGCAGGTTGATATTCTTTGATTGAACTACATACACAGAGATTAATACTATTTAATTGTTTTTTTATAATATTTCTCTTCTTTTTGAATGGAAAAAATAATAAAATAACTGCATAACCAAACAAAGTCTTAAAGATAGAGATAAAAAAGAAATGTTAAACGATGGGGTTTCTATACCTTACCTCAGTGAAGAGATTGGCATGCTTGTGATAAACTTCAAGTGGGTTCATTATTTTTATTAATGAATTTTGCTTAGACTAGGAATAGTTTAGTTACTCTTTTATATATATATATAAAATGAAAAAGAAGAAATTAAAAAGGAAGATGTGCAATGAATTGTATATATATATATATAGGTATAGGCATATATGCAATTGCATGGAGGGGATGGAAGTGACGCAGATTATGGAAATGGAAGCAAATGAAATTTTTGAATGTGCAATGAAAGGCAGATGGGATGAAGTTGTAGAAGCCTATGAGAAAAATCCAAGCCTTCAAGAAGCAAGAATAACAAGATCAGAAGATACCGCATTGCACATAGCAGTATCCGAAGGGCGAACTGAGGTAGTGTTGAAACTATTGGAACTAATTGGAGACAATGCATCAAGAATTCTACGTATAAAAAATGAGAAAGGAAACACACCACTGCATTTAGCAGCAGCACTTGGAAATGTTACAATGTGTCATTTCTTGGCTGCAAAAGATGCAACTCTAATTAGAGCTCGAAATTCTGAGAGTGAAACCCCTCTTTTCCTCTCAGCTCTTCATGGAAAGAAAGATGCTTTCCTTTGCCTTCATTTTCTTTACAAAAAAGAATATAGAGAAACTGACTATTCTTTATGCAGAAAAAATGATGGAAACACTATACTTCATTCTGCTATTTCTGGAGAATATTTCTGTAAGTCTATTTTTGTTCCGATGTTGTTCTTATTGCTTTTGTTGCATTTTTTTCAGTGAATTTGATTTCTGTTGACAGGTTTGGCATTTCAGATAATTTGCAATTATCCAAATCTGGTTGATTTTGTCAATGAGTTTGGTCTATCTCCTCTGCATATTTTAGCCAGTAAGCCTAAAGCATTCAAAAGTGGCAGTCACAGTTCACCACTTGCTTCTCTAATATACCGCTGTAAGAATTTCGCCTCAGCTTTATCAGACAGTGTTAGTTAAAGACTGTGATCTTGTCTGCTTTTCTCCTGTAATATTGAAGTGTTGCTGGTTTTGTTTGTTACAACAGGTATAATAGTTTATGAGCTTCAGGAGGAAACCCAAGATAATACAGCATGCCAAAACAATTGGGGAGTCAAAAAAGTTCCTAAATATCCACCAAATTGTGAAACTGGCATTAACTTTTATCGTGCGATCAGAAAGATTTTCCAAGCATTAAGTGAGTTATGGCACATTATGCTTTATAATATATGCTGAGTGAATATATATTTGAAATGTTAATAAGCTACATTGCCTTCTTTGTTTTTTGCCAGCTACAACACAGGAAACTAGCATAAGCTATGGAGTAAAACAATTCTTCCTTGGAAGAAGGGCTGGAATTGAAAATGATAACTTGAAGGATGAAGAGAATCCACAGCAAACAAGCAGCTTGTATTATGGTAAGCAATGATATTTAGGCTCCAGGTTAGGACCCTTTAAAAGAATTATCGGCTAGTTTATATGTTCTATCTGATTTTTGCCATATTATATAATTGGCTCATATTCTAAAGTAAGCTCATTCTGAAGACGGAAACCCAGCAAAGAAAAAGTACGAAGAAACACGGATTTATCCTCCAAATTTTGCAACATGTTTCCAGTTCTGCCAGTTCATGGCTAATATGATACTGATTATTCTTGGATTTGGTAAGCATTTCTTCTACAGCAACCTTTTTTCTTCTAATTCTAGCTTTGATGAAAAGGTCAGTTACTATGTATGGTTTTATCTTCAGGCATTTCAAAGATCAAGCACATCAAAGAAAAAAAAGAGCGACATGTATGGGCTGTGCAGATAATGCATGAACTGGTTCAAAGAGCTTCTTCTCAAGGGTATAAATATAATGGCCAAAATCCAAAAACATCTTGGCCCAACAGAGATGGAGATGCATCTGAAGTTTCTAAAGCTCTACTTTCATCAGAGTTTGACGAGAAATCTGAAAGTAGAGATGCAAATCATGATGGGTTAAGTACTTTGACTGCAGACCAAGAAGAACATCAAAAGGGGAGAGATGAGCATGGAAAAGGTAAAGCTAATTCGTTTCATCTTAGGAGTCATATAAACTTCATTTTACTTTATTTTCCAATTCAGTAAACTGAATTGGACTTTTGATATATAAATGAATTCTGCAAAATTTATGGAACCGTGTTTAATAATTTATGAATGCACACAGCAGAGAAAAATGACAAACCTGTACTAGTGGCTGCAAATCTTGGAGTGACTGAAATGGTGAACAAGTTCATTGAAGCATATCCATATGCAATCCAAGAATTGAACACGCTTCAGAAAAATCTTGTGCTCCTGACATATGAGAAAAAGAAGACTCCAAAATTTTGCCAAAAGGAGACACCTATACTGATGGCAGCAAAGATGGGAATAACTGAAATAGTGGATAAAGTCTTAAACACATTTCCTGTAGCTATTCAAGATCTGGACTCTGATAAAAAGAATGTCGTGCTTCTAGCAGTTGAACAAAGACAAACTGATGTCTACAATCTGTTGCTTAAGAGGGCAATGCTTAAGGAAAGTGTTTTTCGTCAACTGGACAATGACGGAAATAGTGCATTGCATCTTGCTGCAAAATTTGGCGATCATCGGCCGTGGTTGATTCCAGGGGCAGCGTTGCAGATGCAATGGGAGATCAAGTGGTACAATGTAAGAAAAAAAAATGATTCGTTCTGTTCTTTTGTTCTGCAGTTAACTTGGTTCATTCTTGTAATGCAGTTTGTCAAGAAATCAATGCCACCACATTTCTTCGTAAAACACAACAGCAAAGGCCAGACACCAAAAGAAATTTTCACAGAGACACATAAAGACCTTGTAACTAGAGGAAGCGAATGGCTTACAAAAACTTCTGAGTCGTGCTCGGTTGTTGCAGCACTCATCGCAACAGTTGCCTTCGCAACTTCAGCTACTGTACCGGGTGGTCTCAATCAAAATAATGGCCAACCAACTCTAAAAGACGAGCCAGCATTTAATGTCTTTGCCATTGCATCACTTGTAGCTCTCTGTTTTTCAGTGACTGCACTCATCTTTTTTCTAACAATTCTTACCTCCCGCTACCAAGAAAATGATTTCGCAGTAGATTTGCCACGGAAGCTCTTTCTCGGTTTAACATCACTCTTTACATCCATAGCTTCTGTGTTGCTCTCATTCTGCGCAGGGCATGTCTTTGTCCTAAAAGAAAACTTGAGATATGCAGCTTATCCATTGTATGCTGCAACATGCTTGCCAGTGACCTTTTTTGCTCTTGCACAATTACCTCTCTACTTTGATCTTGCAAGTGCTATCCTCAAGGAAGTACCTCAACGTAGCTACAAGCACAAGGTTTCTTCGAACCGCTCTGTGCATAACTGAGGTTTTGGAGGCTTTTTTTTTTTTTTTTTTTTTTTTAGTTTCTTTTATGAGAATGATGAAGAGTAGGAGGCTTTTTTTTTTTTTTTTGTTTTAGTTTCTTTTATGAGAATGATGAAGAGTGATTTATGCATTTTTGTTGTTTGGAGTGAGTTCTAGTGCTCGTGCAGTGTTAACATCAATGGTGTAACAATTCAAGTTTATGCAAACTATGGAAAGAAATTTGCATGCGAAAATCAAGTACGCACAAAATTTCAAACCAAAAGGAAGTGAAGCAATTTATCTTTATTCCAACCGTAGTCCAACATATTGGAACCTCAAATAACGGAGAAAAAACCGTTTATGCTCTGTAGAAGAAATTTACTTCTTAAGCCAGTGTTAATTACATGACTGTTATTAACTCAAGTGTAATTTCTCACGTGGCACTTACATGGGTGACCAAACTGCATTTCTACTATAACAGAAAGCAATTAATCTGCCACCAATCCTATCTGTTGCATAAAATCCTGCTGGAAGGTTCTTGACAAGATCCAACATCACCGATTTGTTATCTGCAGATTAAGCATCTCATCCAGCAAGACTTCCCAGGAAAGTTGGCATAGCTCTGCCCTGTAATGTCCGAAGCAACTACAAGCAAGTTCTTCTAGCAAGAGTTTCCTTGTCCAGAAACTACCATAACAAGATCCATGAGAAGCACAATATCAGTGATGGAGAACAGTATTTAAGTGCTTCTACGTACTTCCAGAGAAACACTTCTCCAGTGTCTTTTCTTTGACATGATCTGAAATAGAAGCTTCTGGATTAGCGATAACTATTAAAGAAATAAGTTGCACCGCAAGAATATTAGCAGCAGCAACTAGAGAACGTAAAATTGAAAATGAAATAACTTGGTTGTTTTGACTGAAGCAGATAATTGTAAATGCAGTAGCACCATAGCTCTGGATAGTGGAAAAAAAATTAAAACAAATCCATAAACATTAAAACAACCATCACTCCATACAACAGCCATTCATGTAAACCATACTAAATGAATCCTTCAAGTAACACACCTTACAGGATTGAGGAGGCAATGAGACCTGGCGAAAAGCCTTTCCAGGTTCTGTTAGTTGCCGAATCTCTTGAAGCTGGCCCATAATATTCTCCAAAAGTTGCAACTGAGTTTTTTCTTTTTCCATGTTCTGCGTAGACACATTGAGCTTCCCTCTGCCCTCTTGTACAATCCTTAGCCTTTCCCTCAGCCTCCCAACTTCATTATCAATTTTAAACCTCTCATAGTCAACAATAGACATGGAATTTCTTCTAAAATCAGAAAGCATGGGTTTTCTTAGTGAGCAATCCATAGGTGAGAATCCACTAGTTATGTCTGAGCAGCTTCTTCTGACATCCTGCTCAGTTTGTGACCTGCTCATATTTGGACTATCACAAGATCTTGGGATGTCTAAGGCAGCATTCACAAACAGCTTTTCACTTCCATTTCCTCTGACTTCACCAGACACACTAAATTTGTCATCAATCATTCGAACATCAGGAACAAAAGGATCCTTGTTGAACATTGTATTACATGAACCTTCGTCTTGCTTCTCTGAATCATCACAAGTATATGAAAAAAAATTTTTTGTTTCATCACCGGCCTGAATTGTCTTTGATGCTGACTCATGGCTTGCACTAGTGACATCAATTTGCTGCTGTACTTCCCTGAAGGGGGTGACAGTTTTCTCATCCTGCAAATTGTATGTTTCAGCAATTGAAAAGTTATATTGTGCCTCCCCTTCCTGAGACATTGGGCTCTTTTCCAATGATAATGGCTCCATCTCTCCAAACTCTTCATCAATCTCCCTATTGCCACTTGATCCTAGTTTCAAAGAGTCAACTTCATCCAAATCTGGGTTTGGTAACTTTTTCCCAAAGGTTAGAGTACGATCTTGTAATTCAATAGATCTATCTTCGGAAATTTTGTTTGCATTTTCCATCTTTTCCTTCCCACAAATGGATTCACCTGAATGTAGCAAAGAAGCTGCCCTTCTTCCACGAGAGGTTCCAATATCTTGTTGATCAGAATCAAACTGCTCACTCCCAAAAATCATTTGCCTGTAAGTTTCAACTTCCTTCTCCAAGAAATGTTTTTCCCTTTCCCTTCTTATTAGGATCTCTTTAAGAATGCTCATTTCTTCAAAATCATAAGCAGATTTTTCTTCTATCATCCTCTGGTATTGTCTAGCTTCCATTTCTATCAATGCCTTTTCTTCTTGTAGACGCAGTATCATTGCCATGGCCTCATCTGCAGCAGTAGCAGCAGCACTCCTCTCTTTCTCAAGCTCAAGGTACAAAGCAGTACAAGCTGCGTGCTCCTTTTCTAGTGCTTGTTTCAAGACTCTAATTATACTTTTATCATTACTATCAAAGAAGCCCTCACCTTGTGCATCCAAATTCAAGTTATCAGCAGGTAATGCATCCTTCTGTGTTAGTTCATTTTCATTTATAGGTGCATTTGATTCAAAATCAGGGGACTCTCCCCCCAGCAAATCCATGTCTACAGAAGAGACCCTGCCATCTAAAATTGCATAAGCACATTAGAAGCAGCAATAAAATCTGCAGAAATAATGTTAGCATTGCATATGCAAGAATTGGGATGCATTCCGGATTGTGTTCATAACATTTTGATTGCAGGAATTATGTAGGCAGACCATCTAGGAGTCAAAATGCAAACTTAATCCTAACACCTGAAAGCGTACAGTCCAGAAAACACAGAGCAGGATATGCAACTTCGATACTTCAAACATAATTGTTATAATTTTCATTCAGTTAACAAATTACCTCTTGCATTGGAAAATATGCAAGTATCTGACTATAATGGAAGGTTTGGTAAGTTGTATAGTATAGGGGAACCATTTTTTACAGTCCAAATGAAAAAAAATTAAAATATTGCAGAACCCATCTTCACTCTTCAATAAGCCTAAAATTTCTCGGGACATAAAGCACAAAATTTTGATCCCATATGAAAGTGGTTAAGGCAAAATGAAATATGAGAACCATGCTAGTTCACACTAGAAACAGGTTTAACATAAACTGAATATTAATTTCAAACAAGTATTCACACTCACAAAGCTGAGAATTGCCATCAGGTATTGTGCTGCCTTCGATACTGTCATGCACCAATTTACTAGCACTGGCAGGAGACTGAAAAGCAGCTTGTGAATCCAACCGAGAAGGATCATATGAGGAAACAGAAGAAGACCCCCCATTATCAGTCAAACATTTCCTACGGCGCCTAAGAGCATGTCGTGCTCTCTGAGAAGAAACCCCCTTCCCCTTGATATCAAACCTCTCTTCTTCCCAAATTGAATCAAAAGGGAGTTTGCTCTTAACAGAGAATTGGACAGAGGATATCTTCCCTGATGGGCTGTCTACTAGCACCGATTGCCAGCAACTACTATCACTATTGGGGTCACCGAATAGTCCATTGCAAGGGCAAGGCAGAGCCAATCCAAACAAACCCAAGAATTTTGAGGCAAGATAAGCAAGAGTTGATGCACAAAGCAGAAGATAGGCAATAGCAAGATCAAGAAATGCACCCACTAGCCCACTAAAAGTCCAAGATTGTATCTCATGACAAGACATTTTCCTAGAAAACAATTCTTCAAGAATCCAGTCGATTAAGTAAATAAACCTGTTTCCTGTTCAATTAAGAGAAAACCGAAGAAAAGAACAATAATATGTCAAGCACAGCATTTTCACTCAATTTTTTTTTATCTAGAATGTAAACTATGAACAATCCTTTGTTTGATTGCCAATAAAACTGCATAAAATTCATAAGACTCTACTAAACTGAACCCAATGCAGCTGCAGAGGTTACTTATATGCAAAACCCAGAAAACCCAAAAAAAGCAAAATTAGAGAAAAAGAAAGAGTAATCCCAAAAGTCTTTTCCTTTTTCTAATTGTTTTTTTCCATTGTGCACTGACTTCATTCTCCTTCAAAATTTCTCAGAAACCAAACAAAATAAATAAACAAATACCAAATAGATTACTAAATGATAAACTCAGTGTAGGCATGGGTTACATGTATTGACTCACAGAACTGCTATTGAGTGAACTCGGCCACGAATCATCTTTGGTTTGAGCTGCTATGAAGTTTCATAAAAACAGACAAAAAGGTTTTCTAAACTATAGAAAGAGTTTGTCATTCAAAAACTTTTGGCTCCATTCCCGAGATAGATACGGCACCGTTTGCTGTACCCGCATGTACTTTTGAATTTTGATTGTAGTCCAGTTTCGTTAATGTCACGCGCCTTTTATTCCGTCACCAACTTTTAAGGATCGTGTCTGCCAGTCGCTATATGGGTGTGGATTGATTACCGTGTGACAGCGTAACCGTTACCATGCGGTTTTGGCTAGGAAATTACAGTGGGAACTGGGAAAGGCGTAATTAAATGAAATTAACAGCGTCTAGAAAAGACCGTTACTTACCCTTGGGTCAAGCTAGTATAATACAAATTAATTTTTTTTCCCTCATTTATAAATCTCATAATTGCGGGATGAAATGATTTATTGATTTGATTTTGACCAAGTCAAATAAAAGATGTAAATTTGATCTGATGGGTGAAAGAAATCAATTTGAATTGATTTATCTTAATAATCAAATTAAAAGCAATTGAATCAAATTAATTTCAGTTTGATTTTTTTGATTTTAACCGTTTTTATTCACATCTACACCTATAAGTCTGCACAGTGAAAAAGTTCACTTAACCCTATATCTATATATATGTTTTGAAATGAAAGTATTTTCACCGTTTAATGAAAAAGAAAAATACAAAGAGGGAACAGTTTTTAAAAAATTTCTATGCGATTGATGTAGCACACGAGCCTGTTCATAGATCTGGTTAGGCAAGTTTTATCCATAAAGTCAATACAATCAACTCAATTCTCTAAAGAATTGCATGACATACTAACAAGATCAGCTTCAGGCTTCAGGGTTCATATATGCACAACCATTCCATTCAAGTGCTTCCATCTAATAGCATAGGACCGCTCCGCCATCGCCTTTTCTTCGACATAACCTGAAATTGCAGACTCCATTATGGATCATCAAATACAAATACCAACTATTAGAAAATGAGAATAACATATACATACATACATTAGATGTTAGAGGTGGCAATGAAGCTCTTCGTGCAGCTTTTCCAGGCTCTGTTAATTGTCGAATCTCTTGTAGCTGACTAGTTATATCCTCCAATATCTGTAGCTCAAGTTTCTCTCTTTCTTTGTTCCCTTTTGTCAACTTTAGCTTCTCTCTTCCTTCTTGCACAGATTTTAGTTTCTCTCTAAGCCAAGTAATCTCATTGTCAATCTTGAACCTCTCAGCATCAAATGCAGACATTGATTTTCTCCTCATATCAGAACTTCGCCTGCTCTTCAAATTACCAATCGGGGGTAATCCGGTAGGAATGCTCGGATTGTTTGATGATGTTTTTGTATTACTTTTGTCTCCCATGACTTTTTTATACACAGAAAATTGATCATCAATCACATGAACATCGTGAACTTCACATTCGCTTTCTTTATTATTCTGTTGTAAATTATGTGGAGGATCTTTATTATCTCCTTCGCTAAGTTTTGTGTTTGGTAAGGATTCTTTCGAGTTGGGTTTCTCTACCTTATCTTCTTGATCAATGTATGCACTATTTTGCTTTAGCATAACAGAATTGTCATCTATCATGCAATACATATCAGCTTCAAACTGTTCATTCCCTGAAATCATTTGCCTGTAAGCTTCAACTTCCTTTTCTAAAAAATACTTTTCCCTTTCTCGCCTTACCAAAATTTCTTTCAGAATGTTCATTTCTTCAGCGTCGTATTCATATTTCTCTTCTAGTATTCTTTGACATTGCCTTGCTTCCATTTCTATAACAGCCTTTTCCTTTTGCAAACGCAATATCATAGCCATAGCCTCATCTGCAGCAGAAGCAGCCGCGCTTCTTTCCTTCTCTAACTCAATATAAAGAACGGCTCTCGCAGCATGTTCTTCTTCTAGTGCTTGTTCTAATAGTCTTATTGTGTTTTTCGCATTGCCGTCTAAATCTTGATCTCCATATGAATTGAAATCATCAACAAGTGATGCATTTTCATCTCCACGCTCGTTCTCATTTACAGATTCATTCCATTCAAAACCGTGCGAAAATTTTCTTTTCGAACCAATATCCACTAAAGCTTCTTTCCTATCTAAAAATTTCATACCCATATTAGTATTGTAGAAAAATAGTGAGAAACACAAATGAAATGAAATAAAAAAATAAATATCACCTTCGAAATTAATGCTACCAGGAGCTGATCTTATTTCTGCATTATCAGACCAGAAAGATTTATCAGAAGGGACCCAAGATAACTTCCCACGATGATCAATAACCGTACCGCCTTTTCTTCGGCGTCTAAGGCCATTTCTTGATTTATGGCGTGTAACCCATTTTCCTTTGAATTCAAATCTCCCATCTTTTATATCAGGAAAGTTCATTGCTCCCATCACAAAACCTTGTCCTTTCACTTTAGCCAAATCTCCATCTTTATTAATGTTTTTTGATCTTCTTTCTGATGAAGAGATACATGAGGCCTCGCCTTCTGATCCAACACCTTCATTTGTATCATTATCCCTTTCGATTTCCAAGTTGGAATTGGGACAATCAAAAGGGAATTTGGTTTTTACAGAGGATTGAACAGAAGAAATTTTCTTAGCAGGGAAATCAACTAATAATTCTCTTTGAAAACAGGTATTATTTTTAGTATTATTAGGAATTCCAAAGAATCCGTTGCAAGAACATGGTAAGTTCAATCCAAACAAACCTAGAAATTTCGAAGCAAAATAAGCAAGAGAAGATGAACATAGAAGAAGAAAGGTGATTGAAAGATCAAGAAATGCACCCACTAACCCAATAAATGTCCATTTACGTATAGCATGGCAAGGCATTCTTTTTTTTCTTGGAAAATTTTTTGTTTTTTGGGTTGGGCTATTATATGGATTGAACAAATGAACTACTCCCTCTGTTTGGTTGCAGAGAAAATCTAAAGGAAACAACATTTTCTCATTATCTGTCATGGCACTGCGACCCCTAGTTTTTGGGCGGTTATAAATTGGGCGAACGTTGAGGCTCGGATTACGTGGACAAACACACCTCAATTCTTGGAAAGGAACATAAAATTGTATAGATCATGTAGTAATGTTTCTTTCTGAATTTCTTTCCTAAGAACAATATATTTCAAAACAAAAAGAATATACAGGCGCAATATATTTTGTTCAATTGGGTCTTCCAATTGAATTGATTATTGAAATTTAGACTAATGTTAAATTTTTTAAAGTATAAATTAATAAAATTAAAAGAATTAACTAAAATAGAATAATTGGGCAAAGCTTCTAACTTAATTTAAAATTAATTTAATATATATATTATTAATTTATTTCACATTCGGTTAGAACATGATATCTTTTAAGATGGTTTTAATATCATTAAACTAAAATTCTGGATTTTTTTTTTTTTTTAAGATTGTAATACAGGTTAGTTTTTTAGCAGTTAACCTTTGATTTAGTGTAAAAAAATAAGAATCCAATCAATTTGTTTCTTGCAACGATCTGTAGAGACAGGGTAATAAGTTGTCCAAAATAAGATGGACTCATTTTGTCAGGGAAATCCACTTAGATATGGGCTGATTTTCTAGTTTCTTATTGGAAATGGGCCTATTAGGCCCATATATTGCAATCTAATTTCCATATAACCAAGGACAAGCTTTGTTTCCCCTCGTGTGATGCTATATTAATATCATACATTTTTTTTTCTTGCACTACGCCTTATCAACGTGATATTTAGATAAAACTCTTTTAATAGTAGTAATTTTAAAATTTAAAATTTTTAATTTTACAAATAAAGTTCGTTGGTATATGCTATTCATTTTGACAGGTCCAACTGTGTGACATCCCGACTCGGCAAAAGCAATTCTAAGAGAGCGGGTAGAGCAAAACTCCTAGCTAGCTTCTAGGATGGCAGGCTAGCTAGGGTAGTGGAATGCGGGACACAAGAATGAATCGAATCATATATCGAAAATGGGTGACACAGTCACATACTGCGTAGAGAGAATATGGATGCTCAAAGGAAAAGATCATATGTTGAGGGTGCAGGAGTAGCTAGAAGCGCTCTCTGGAACTAGTGTTATCCGAGCAAATGCCAATTCCATAATGAATCGCCAACGACTAGCGATGACCAACAGAATTTGCCAAAATTAGACATGCTTAAACCGCAACAAACGTAAAGACGCGAGAGATCATAATCACGGCATGAGAACCCCACTACACACAATGATCGCTGTGCAGGTAAGATTCTACGTCATATATGTAAAACTGAGTGTCCTCAGTATGAGTTCCACTCACTGTTGAATGTAGCATATACACTAACATCCACAGAAACCAATATAGGTGGATCATGCTCTCCGTCTGGATCGTGCAGTAACTGAGTAAGTCAAGACTGTGAAGATGGTTGCGTATATACGAACGACTCACCCTGATCTCAACAGTATGTGAGTATCGAGAGAAAGCGAAGAGACGTCTCGTAGAGTGAGTCGAAAACTGCTAATTCGGTATATACAAATACTAACACCGATGTGGTAGCTCTAACAAAGTGAAAGAAGCTCCGGGCGTGTATGATATAGTATGGCATGGTATGCAATACAAGACGTGACAGGAACGAGCAGGCGTGAGATCATTTCAATTACGGACTGTGATCAGTCACTCGAACTCCAGCGCAAAAGCCAATGCTAGTAGCACGAGGCCACCGATGAGCAAACTAATCATACTAGCCTGCTTGTAGTTAACCGTGAGACAAAGATGGCGACGGACTATGAAGACGTTTATTGGTCACTGGAAAGAAGCACTGAGACACTGTTATGGATGGAAGACGCATAACCCCATTGATATGACGTGAAGAAGTGAAGTGGTGTAGTACAGAAGAACTAACAGAATGTTATGGTACTTTTTTTATTTTTGGTTATAATGTTTGTCGTTAGAGAAGAGGGAAAACTGCCTCGATAGAGCTCAGTGGCTGCGCTGATAATACAGATAAGCCAGATTACTTGTTGGTGGCAGCACACATGAGAGAAGGAGATGTGAGTGAAGTGCGCGAGCTCGGTAACTAAATTACCCGGCGTGAGTGACTATACACCGACTCCATCAGGTTAAGCCCGAATGCGCGAATATGACTGGGTAGTCTCAAAGCGGACCTCCTGCGCGCGATTTAGGATGATGAGCGAGATGCGGGGACAGGTAGGGTGATTTTGCATAGTTAATCCGATTCACAAGGCACTCTCCTGTGTAGAATTATGATCTCAACTGTTATTCGTGTAACCTATTGTCTCTCTCGTGGTAAGTGGTGTTTTTATTTCTCTGGTAAACTCTAATGCGGACCAGTCAACGGCGAGCAATAAACAGAGCCTAATTAGAGAGGCGAAATGAGAAGCAAAGCGTCCTGAGTGTATTCGTAAGGTAGTCACGAGAGTACTAGTAATACTTATAGTGAGTTCCGTGATATGATATATAAAGGCTTGATTACACAATATACTGAAATGATTCGAGCAAAAATAAATTCAATTGTTACGTTTTCACAATTCAATAAAGTGTAGTAGATATTGAAATAGACTTAAGTGTGTTGTGATTAATTCTCATTCAGAGTAAGAGCCATAAGTTGTGTCAAAGGTCCTGCGTCTTCTGAAGTGCTCGTGGATATGTAATACTCAGTGTCGATTATAATGTATGAGCTGATCGCCGAATAATTATGAATATCGTCCTAAGCTTATTCGGTGAGTGATGTATTTCTCTACGTTATGTCCGCCTTGTCTTTTTCTCGCCTGTCTATATCTTTATCCTCATGTGTCTGCGTATCTGCGAAGAATAACCAAAGTGTAACTCAAATCTAAAATTAAGCAGATGATGTTATGTAGTAGCTTATGATATGGTGGTGCATTGTAATCCAATTAGATCTATTCTCTTTCGATGGACAACTTTGATTATACCAAAGTCACCTTATATTATTACTATCAGTGGTGGTCCACTTGTATTGAATGCAGATATATCGAAAAGAGGGAAACTAATCATTAGAGGCATCTTTTGGTGGAGTGGCTGGAGAGTTGGAAGAACTCCAGGGTTAAGTATGCTCGCTTAATAGAAATCTCAGGATGGGTGATCTCGTGCGGGTCTTGCCATCTTATATGGGCGATTTGGCTTGATCCAAAGCAAACAATTCTTCTGGTGATTAGAGTCGGGTGTGACAAACTGCCTATTAATACTATATGGCACGATTTTTAATTTCAGCTTTTACATATATCGAAATTAAACAAAACGTAAAAAACATACTTCTTTTATACTAATCAAATGAAATAATTAACAATTGAAGGTTAATAACAATTTAGTGAAAATTAGGCTAATCTTAGATGCAAACTTGTAATTTATTATTTATGATTAATTAGATAATTACAAAAGTAAAAATAGAAAAAGAATAATAAATTACGTAAAGCGACAAATAATTAATCATCAGTAAAAGTTAGACAATTTTAATTAAAAAATAATTACAATTGAGTGAATAAGTAAAATTGCATAAAGTGACAAATAATTACGAGAGTAAAAATAGACAGAGAGAATAATAAATTAAATTTATTACTATAAGAAATTCATATATTAGATGTTTATGGCTTGTATATAAGAGTGGATTTTTGTTGTATTGGAATGTGATTCAGCTGAAAAGAAATTAATCACTTGTATCCAAACAAAACAAATTAAAATGAAATCATTTGTTTTTTGAAAATTAAAATGAAATCATTTAGAAAAAGAAAAATCCTGAAATTTTCTTGCCATTAGTTGCAGCCAACTAATGTTATTTAGGATTAGAAGTCTTTATCATGGTGGCCAAATCACAATTTTGACAAATTCGAAATTTAATTGACTTAACTAAGATTGATCAATTACAACTATGTCAATTTTCAATTGATATATTCTACATAAAACCAAAAAAAAAAGCAATTTTTTTCTTTGTTGTTTCTTTTCAATTCCTCTTTTTTTTTATTATTATTATCACCGAGTACAAAGAGTACTAATAACGTACGATACATGTTTTATCTTTCTCTTTCTTTTCTCTCTAATCTTTTAACCCTTGTTTTGTTTCGGGCTGTCACTGTTAAACAACGGCAGCCCCTATCTCTTACATTCTATTATCTTTTTCGTTTCGCTTTCATTTCTTTTCGCTTTTAATCTTTTATTCACTCTATTAAATTCAGATCGATTTTTTTCTACAATAAATTTATCCTTTTTTTTGTTTTGTTATTGTTATTTTGTCTTCATATTTGGAATTTTCGATCAATAGAGTCTGGTAGAGCGGTTTGTTCCTCCATTGATGCTACTGAATCATAATGGCGTAAACTCATATATTCGTTATATGTTGCAAATTCTTGGAAAAACAATCTAAGTATAGAAGATCTAAAGGAGTTATTATTTTGTCGGTCAAATCACTTATGAATATTTGTAATTCCTAATATTATTACTAATGAATTATATTTTCAAAAAAAAAAAAAAAAAAAAAAAAAAACAAAAAAAAAAAAAAAAAAAGAAAAGAAAAGAAGACATCTCAGACCGGGGACAAACTTCCATCATCTGTTCTAGATTAGAAGTTCCGTCATTTGTGGTCTAAAGTTTTGTTTTTATTACTTTTTTTTCCCCCTTTCACTTTGATTATGGACATATATCAATTCTGCCAGACCTAATTCAAATTGCTAGACAGTTTTCATATTTGTAAATTTCAATTTGCCAATGTCCGTATGAGACAAATATGTAGATATTGAAAAGCACATAATATTCTAAAGATATGAAATTCTTAATTTCAAATTTGAAAATATGTTGGATTTTCTTTTTAATTTTTTTATCAAACCTTCTCATCATCTTCAATATTGATTTCTGTAAAAATTTATTTTTCAACCCTAAATTTATCTTTAAAGTATATATTAAAATTTATTTTCTTATATATATATTAAACACCGGTGTCCGAAAGCCCACACGTCATAAAATGAATTTTGATAAAATAGAAATAAAAAATTTTTATGGAAGGTACTTTGGGTGAAACTTAAACTCACCAAATCCAATACAGTCCATTCCTATTTGCTTATTGTGTACCAAACCAAAAGTGGATGTGTAAGGTGGGAAATATGGAATTATAATTAATTAATTAATTAATCTTGATTTAAAAATATTTTTCTCCTGATCTATTATGTCATCTACATCCTACTAACTTTGGGTAGGTGAAATTGCAGTAGTTGGAGATCTTGTTGGAGAAACTGTTCAAGACTGCAAGTGCAAAAGAATCAAACTATCTCATCTTTCATCCTCTCTTTTCTTGATTAAATCTATTTAACTACTAAAAATTCTTATTTATTAATATTTTTTGGTTGAATTTTTAGGAATTTAGGGTTGGTGGGAATAGCTATTTTTAATTGGAGATCCAAATTCTAAATGAAGCTTAAACAAGTATTTGCAATTTATTAATTGCTTAATCCTATAATAAAAATAAAATTGGTTAAAAAATACACTTCTTTTTTTTTTTTTTTTTTTTTAAAAAAAAACACTTCTTTTTTTTTTTTTTTTTTTTTAATCATCCAGTATCTGAAATTCACTAAGTCGATTAATTCAGATTCGCGTTCGACATACTTACATGGTAAAACGCTTCCTTCCGAGTATTTAAAGGATTATATATCCAATGCTTAAATTTGAGACGTTTAGTTAATAGTTAAGAGAAAAAAAATTCATATCATTCCGTCTCATCTCTTGAAGATGGTTAAAATAATTTTCAAATTCAAATTTTATATATGATAATTTCCTCCAAATATTTAAAAGAAAGGCCAAAAATTCAAATATGTCTTAGATATCCAAAAATTCAACATTTGGTGCTGTTTTTTCAGAAGAAAAAATTTGAAAATCTGAAATCCCATGGAATTGAATTCCTCTACAGTGAGACAATGCAGTAAACATACTAAAAGTTGTAGCTCATAAGTTCAAAAACATGACCTCTAAGCTCCATAAATGGAATCCCTTTCAATTAATATGAAAGAAACAGCACCAGTCAGTAGTAGGCAGCCCACAACACCCACTTTTAAACTGACTGCCATTTGTTTCTCAATAAATGAACTCTCTTAGAAAATTACATCCAGCAGTCTCTTTACTCGTGGCAGTGAAAGTACATTTCGAATTCGATTCATCTCAATCATTCAATGAAATGTAATATAATTAAAAATATTTATACCTAATATAGTTTAAGATTATGATGAATTTTTTGTTAACTATGAAGATATCAAGAAACATGTCTGAACATGTTTGATTGAGATGTATATGATTTAAGAAAAGGTTTGGAAGAATCTTTTATCCAATGTATTTTTGGTGCTCTTATTCAAACCTTAAATCAGAATATGCTTATTCTCAAAAAAAAAAAAAAAAAAAAAAAAAAAAAAAAAAAAAAAAAAAAAAAAAAAAAATCAGAAAATGCTTTGGTGCTTCCTATCAAATCATAAACCACTTATTAAGGTGGTGAATAAGAAAAGTGGTTCTGTTAAATCAATTTTAGAGATTCAATACATGTATAGATAAAGTACGGCTCGATGGGTAAATTATATTTGAGTTTAGTAAATTATTTCTGTAAATTAGATATTCGATATGTGAAAAAATATTTATGGAGAGAAAAGAGCAACCACAAAAACCCTAATTGAATATTTAGCATAAATATCTTTATCCTAATCCAAATTATTGCACATCCAACCACACTAAATTGGAAAAAACCCACCTAACCCACCTCAATTAGAATTTTAAATTCATGTAATTCCAATTTAGAAGGATAAAATTTGAATATCACTAACATTTAACACATTTTTTTACTGGGTTTAGATGTTTCCCTGAGATATACTAATAAAATTGCAATGACAATTTTCAAAGTGTTCAAAAATGAAAGAATTTTCAATCTAACAAGACTTGCGCACGCTGGGTCTATAATTTCACTTATAGACAAAACTAATAAAAATAAAATTTTTTTAAACATTATTTTTATTTTATAATTTTTTTTCCTAAATGTGGTCAAAGGTAATTTGTTTCGTAGGTATCACTAGATACCCTGTCTAAATAAGTCTCGACGACGGTCCACAAGTAGGGGTGGCTTTTTTGAGTTTTGACGTCTCAGGAAATATTCAAGTCTTCGAGATCACATTTCTATTCTACGCGTTCCAAAGGAGTTTGTGTGTGACCAAACGCCTCGTGTGAAACCATCCATGGAATAAGAACCAGAAAAATTCTATTCCTTCGAGGCTTTGTCTGTTCAATATATTTTATGATATATATTTTTAAACTGTTCAATACATCTAGAACATAAATGAATTTGACGATCCACATAAAAATAAAATACTTACATGGATTTTTCAAAATCTTTTTATTTTGAGTATTGTTAAAATTTTATACGAAAAAATCATGAAATAAAAAAAAAAACTCACATTCTTTTTTTGAACTTAAAATAAACTCACATTTTTAATTTCATAAATTGTGATAAATTTCATGCTTTAAAACTATCCATTTAATAGAAATAATATAGAAACGAAAGTTTCATTGGAGTTCCATAAAACCAGGTAACACATGAAGGGAGATAAAAAAAATTAAAATGATACATAAAATGAGGCGGAGGAATATTCACCTAAAATTCAAAACTATAAAAAAAGGATTCCACTTGGGCTTGTGAAAAAAAAAAGATAAAAGAGTCTGTTCAACAAAATTAATTATTAACTGTTTTAGTAGCGTTAACCGTTTAACTTTTTATTATTTAAAATGCTATCTTACCGAATGCTATAAAAAAATTTAAAAATTATTTAAAATACTATCGTCGAATACAGCCAATATATACACCAATTGCGGTCTATGATTTCTATCTTTTCTTTTTTTCATATAGACTTTTCAAAAAAAAAAAAAAAAAAATATAGACTTTTCAAAAAAAAAAAAAAAAAGAGGACCCATAGACTGTTCAGGGCATAGCTGACAAAAATATTAACACTTGCCTTTCATAGATGGAACCAAATGCAAAAAAAAAAAAAAAAAAAAAAGAGGACATAGACTGTTCACATACTGACAAAAATATTAAACTTGCCTTTCATAGATGGGAACCAAATGCAAAATAATTACTATTATATATGGTTAATCCTAAAATATGGCAAGTAAAATAGTATATAAACAAATTCAGAAGAACTAGGATTTAATTACAGTTCAGAATCTTCTTTGATGATGTATGAAATGCTGGGTAGGCTCCTTGTTGGGCGGTTGATGGAATACAATTCAACCATGCAACCTAACAAAGTTGAATAAAAAGGCACCAAGCGTTCACATAAATACACCTTCAATAAAGAACTTTCCAACCTTCTTTTGCCACCTTCAATCAATGCCTTGCTAGTGGTTAACCAAACCATTTCCAGGCACCACCATCACCATGAAGCTGAACCGCCTTTGCATAATCTTGCCTGCTGATTTAGATGATATTGCTCCATATCACTACCCCAAAATCACCCCACCAAGCAAAAAGATACTGAAAAAACACCACAGCCATGGCTGCGGTAGTCAAGTACTGGCTTTTCTTGGAAATTCATTTCGCAGGTTATATGACTCGAAGTGGGTTGGTTGTTATCGGCATGAAAGACCAAGAAAACAGCAGTCTGGTTCATTTCAAGACCTGGAAGGGGTTCAGATGACTGAGAAGGTTGGTGGTGATAATCCAAGAATTTTCAGTTATGCAGAGCTTTATATAGGTTCTAATGGATTTAGTGAAGATGAAATTCTTGGTAGTGGAGGTTTTGGTAAAGTGTATAGAGCAGTTTTACCTAGTGATGGTACTGTTGTTGCTGTGAAATGCTTGGCAGAGAAAGGTGAACAATTTGAAAAGACTTTTGCAGCTGAATTGGTTGCAGTGGCTCACCTACGACACAGGAATCTTGTTCGGTTAAGAGGATGGTGTATTAATGAAGATCAGTTGCTTCTGGTTTATGATTACATGCCAAATCGCAGCCTTGACAGGGTGCTTTTTAGAAATCCAGAAAATTTGACAGCAGCAGCACCTCTTAATTGGGAAAGGAGAAAGAAAATAATTAGTGGGTTAGCAGCTGCACTGCATTATCTACATGAACAATTGGAGACACAAATAATTCATAGAGATGTAAAAGCAAGTAATGTAATGCTGGACTCACATTATAATGCCAGGCTCGGTGACTTTGGCTTGGCAAGGTGGCTTGAACATGAACTTGAGCACAAAACCAGAATTCCTTCAATGAGAAACCACCAGTTTCGCTTGGCAGATACAACCAGAATTGGTGGCACCATTGGTTATTTGCCACCTGAAAGTTTCCAGAAGCGAAGTGTTGCTACTGCAAAGTCGGATGTTTTCAGTTTCGGTATTGTTCTGTTAGAGGTTGTGTCCGGAAGACGAGCAGTGGATCTCACATACCCAGATGAGCAAATAATTTTGCTTGACTGGATCAGGAGGTTATCAGATGAGAGGGAAATTTTACAAGCAGGAGACAAGAGGCTTGCAGATGGGTCCTATGTGCTTTCTGATATGGAACAACTGATTCATTTGGGGCTTCTTTGCACATTGCATAACCCACAACTTAGGCCTAATATGAAATGGATTGTGGAAACACTTTCCGGTAATATTTCTGGCAAGTTACCGCCTCTGCCATCATTTCAGTCTCATCCTCAATACATATCTTTATCTTCTTCATCTAATACTAGCACAAGCAACAGTTACACCAGGTCCACTACCTCTACACCTAGATCTAACATTACAGTCACATCCACTTCATCAACCTTTGTCACAGCCATTGGAGAAACTATATATGCAACTGCAGAATTTGGAAACAATGGTTTAAGTTCTTCTAACAATAGGAGTCATCTACGAACTAGTTGCTTTGTGGTGGAAACTCCCAGGGAAATATCCTACAAGGAAATCATTTCCGCAACAAAAAATTTCTCAGATTCACACAGGGTAGCAGAGGTGGACTTTGGAACTGCTTACCATGGTATCCTTGAAGATGGCCACCAAGTCATAATAAAGAGGCTTGGCATGACAAAATGCCCTGCAATTAGAACAAGATTTGCTTCTGAACTGCAGAGTTTAGCCAAACTTCGCCATAGAAACCTAATACAGCTCCGTGGATGGTGCACTGAGCAAGGAGAGATGCTTGTTGTCTATGATTATTCAGCAAACCGCCTCCTAAGTCACCTCCTTTTCCATCATGATAACAGAATTGGCCATTCTATCCTGAAATGGAGGCACAGATATAATATCGCCAAGTCACTTGCATCTGCCATTCTTTATCTTCATGAAGAATGGGATGAACAAGTTATCCACAGAAATATTACCACTTCTTCCGTCTCTCTTGATCCAGACATGAACCCTCGACTTGGTAACTTTGCCCTTGCAGAATTCTTGTCAAGAAATGATCATGCACATAAAGCCGCCAGCAAGGGAAATAAATCAGTTCGTGGAATTTTTGGTTACATGTCACCGGAATACATAGAATCTGGTGAAGCAACACCAATGGCTGATGTTTATAGCTTTGGTGTGGTAGTGCTTGAGGTGGTCACTGGACAGATGGCAGTGGACTTTCGGCGACCTGAGGTACTACTGGTTAATAGGGTTCATAAATTTGAGGCACAAGAAAGACCACTGGAGGAACTAGTTGATATAAGGTTGAACTGTGAGTATGACCATAAGGAACTGATAAGACTTCTCAAAATGGGAATTGCATGCACTAGGTCCAACCCAGAATCAAGGCCAAGCATGAGGCAGATTGTACGTATACTTGATGGAAATGAGCAATTCCTAGTAGGGGCAGAGCAAAAGAATGAAAGCAAAAAGGAATGGAACCAAAAGAATGCCTGTTCCTTGTCATTGATCAGGAGAATTCAAGCTCTGGGAATACAGTGAGTAACGCCACAGCAGCAGATCAGATAAAGACTACTAGGTCTTTGAGGCAGTTAAAGAGTTCTTTTGTTCTTTTTGTTTTTGTAAACTCCTATGCTACTCAATGTAGAAACTTCTAATTACAATAGATTTTCATGTTTCCCGATAAGTCACTCATGTAGCACTTCATTTTATAATATATATATCCATTTGTACATATATAATCATCTACTATCAGAGAACCTTATCCTTCAGAAGAAGGTTGTAAGCTTCTTTCATGAAAACATCAAGAAACCTTTGTTATACTTGTCGGCAACACTCACTTCCATGCACAATTATCCGAACCTTATTTAGACAGTCGATGAAGTAGATTAAACAAACTAAGAAGATTAGAGAAAATCCTGCCTGAGCACTACTCTCATAAGGAAGTGAAATAATCTTATAAACTAGTAAGATGATTCATAGGATGACTGAAACTTTTATCATTTGAAAGGAAATAATATGATACATGAACAGGACAAAGTAGAAACAATACTAAATAGTAGACTTGAGTTTTTTGGGCATTTACATAGATGCTTTGATCCTGACCTCATGTTGAACTATTATCCAGCGCATTTTTTTTTTCTTTGAAATTGTCTTGCACTTGGTTTAGCTTCCCATCACTGGGATTTCTTCATCAGCATCAATCCCAACCCAGTTTATTAAAGCAAAGAGGAACTCTCTGAAGCTGACCTTTCCGTTCCTGTCCCAGTCCATTTCTCCTGCATTTAATTAGAGGAATCGCCAGAAGATGGTTAAAATAACTAAATAGCAGTACAAATCAGAAACAGAAATATAGCATGTAAAGGAGATGGATACTGAATCGTGACTTGGTGACGCGTGCAGGCGATTTCTCCCAAGGAGAAGCCTCATTCAATGCCTTGAGCACATCTTTCTTGTTCAGCTTTCCATCACCATTCTTATCTAAAAATAAGAATGCTTCCACAATGGTATCAAAAGTGGCCTCAAGCTCCCGTGAACCCACCTTCGATGTCTGAAAGACAACCCATTGGCCATTGAATATACTGAACAGCAATGCAGTCAATTTAAAAAATCTTTGACACTAAAAAATTAGATAAGTTACACTATGAGGAGAGGAGGAAGGTTCCACTAGGAGATAGATGAGACACAAAAGAACAATAAACTCATTGAATTGTATCCCTTGGCTCCCATCAATGTCACATGAGTGAAACAGATCCTCAATCTCCTGCTCTTTTAGATTGAGTTGCAGTTTCTGTAAGCATCTTTTGAGTTCTCCACGATCAATAATCCCATTTGCATCTTCATCTGTTAGATTTACAGAAAGTAAATAGAGCTATAGTGCACCAAAATATCCAAGTCACGGAAAGAAACCTAGTTGAAACTCACCATACAGTTCAAATACACCCCTGATGTTTTTCAGTCCGTCTTTGAACTGAGGAAACCTCAAGATTATACTGTCAATAGATTTAAAATTCGTATGCCCCGTTGAACTTCTCTTTACTTCAATCATCTTCTTCTCAAGCTTGGCATCCAATCTCTTATATTTGTTTTGTGAACCACAATGACAAAACATCTCTGCTATTTTGGAACACAGTGACTTCAAAGCAGGGCAAGAATAAGATGTGCCTTAAGAAGGATGAATCAAATGTAGGCTTAGTAAAGGAGAGAAAATGTGTATATATTTACGTACTTCTATGAAATGGTAAATGGTAAAAAAAAAAGCCCCAGTTCAATAAATGCTTCTGATAACTCGCATTCAGAAGCACGCCACAGCAAAAGAACAGCCAACTCAACTCAACCAAGTCTTCATTCAAAAATAATTTTCTTCAGTAGTAACGTATGAGAAATACCATTCAAGTTATTTCACCTTATTCCAAAGATTAATGAGCATAGGTTAGTAACTTATAGATAGGAAGCAATTAAAAGGGGAAACAAAACAGTAGCTAGCTAGAATCATGAGAATTGATAAAGTACCTCAGGAATGTTAATTTATATAGATTGTCAATCTAGGTGAACTTAAATACAAGTTAAACAGCAAAAATTGAATCTTCATGGTTAACTTCAACAAACCCAGAAGCTTTTCTGCTTTGCTCACATTCTTTTTTAAATTTTTGGGTGTTTTGATCTCCCTTATATTGGGTTTCTACAGAAGCTGTTTAATTCTACAAGCTAATAAGAAAAGGGAAAAAAGAAAGACATACCCAGTGAAACTTTCATAGCTGTTGGTGAGAGGGAGGAAGCAGTTCTCTATACCAAGAAAATAAGAGCAGCTGGCAATATAAAATAGGAAATAGGAAATAGGAAAAAGATGTACTTCAATTAAATGCCCACACAGCAAAGAGAGGGAAATAAGGGTCAATGCGATAAGCAAATTGGGGTTCTTTAAAGTGGAGATGCCATTATGGCTTTTGAAAGCAGAAGTGAACTATTAACTACTCAATCTCTCTCTCCCCATTATCAAAATTATAATTAAATTATTATTACTATCATAAATGCAAGAAAGAATAAAACTTTTGCTTTTGTTAGACTTTAGATACCAAATGCCAAAAAGAATTGAAGCTGTCTTGTTTCTTGATAAATGGAGAAAATTGGAATCAAATTCCACAGAGTTGAACAAAAGAAAGCTATCCTAATTCCTAATCCTAAAAATTCCTGATTGTTTCTTCCAGCAAGCGAAATAAAACAAACAATCCCGCTTGTGTTTGAATTCTTGTGTTTTTATTTTTTTTAAAATATGTAAATACAGTTCAAATTATGAATTTACAGAGATTGATAAAGTTCAAAATAACCTAGAAGTTTACCTCAGATTTCGTATCCAAATGGACTGAGCCAAATAAAGTGAAAAAAAGTGGAATTGATTGAAGAACATTGACTTCAGAGGGAAAAGTTTCTGGAAACTCTCTATTTCTATGAACGAAAAAATTTCTGTAGGATGAAATAGTTTTTTTTCTATCAGAGGGAAAAGTTTCTCTCGAGTAGAAAATTTCTTACTGGACAAAAACGTTTCCCTGACTGTATATCCATTAAAAACACACATGAAAAATCCATTTAATAACAAGCAGTTGTTCATTTACATGCATATTGCGAATAGATTTTTTACGACTTGCTGTTAGTTTATCCTGAATGTAATGGATTCAAGCTATAGAAACAGTCTCTCTGCGTGAAAATCCACATAAAGGATGCTTCATGTACTAGATGCCCTTATATGTTCATTACCCCTGTTTGTGCAAAATAAGGGAATTCCCTTCCATTATCTCCCTTTCTTCTCTGTTCAACTTTCTATGTGCTCTCAGCTATGCACACTCGTCTCTTTCATCCATTTTCCAAACCGCTATCCCCAACTTAAAAAGTTAATGTTCTTTAGAAAGGGAGAGACTTGCAAATTATAAGAGATATCTTCTTAACTCAAAAGATCCAAGACTATACAGACCACCAATGATACACTTGATTAAGGTCAGCATGACTCTTAGACCTACTAAACAAGGAAAAATAACCCCAAAAGAGAAACAAATGAGTTTCTGTTTCTAGGATGGAAATAAATGTCTTTGCCACTCATCCAATATTACTCATCACCCATTCTACTTCTTGCCGCAAGCTTCCCTCTAAGGGCAACGTGTCTCCATTACCAAATGCAGGCCTTGGTCTTTTCTTCATGGTCACAGCAGCCTGTGAACCCACACCCATTGGAGAAACTGGGCTCCCCGTTGAAGTCAAGCAGCTTTCTATGGAGCATTCACCAATCCGACCTGGCAAATTTGTAGTATTTTTGTTCTCTAGAGCTGCAGCAAGTTCAGGTAATGAAGGCATTTTTATATTATCGACTGGGAGCATTCCTTGGCATTCATTGGAAACTTTTATTGCCAGTTCAGACAGCTCTTCCCTAGCAGCTTCAAGCCCAGCAGAGGCAGCAGCCTGATCGTTCAGCACCTGATCATTCAGTGCTTTACAAGCTTTTTCAAGGATTGATTGTAGGTATTTACCCTGTGCTTCAATTCGAAGTTGGAGACGACGCTGCACCTGCTTATGGTAAAATCATCAGATTTTAAAAATCATTGCTAAGCCAGCACATTACTTGTACTAAGGAAACAATTTTTTGAAAAAAAAAATGTAAGATTGAACTTGTTTTAGTTTATAATAAACGATCAACAACATAACCTTAGTGATCAAATAAATGCCAGCTATTAAGTAACCCATGCTGCAATGGCTCAACCTTTACATGCTAACCCAAAAAAGTCCAAAACCACATTTTCTTGACCACACCAGATGCAAGAGTGAAAAGTAAAAACAAACCTCAAGCTGCTCATGCAATCTTCGTTGGACTTCCATCTGTACTCGCAAAGCTTCAGTAACCTGGTAACCACTGTTTGGAAGATGAAAATAAGTAATTCAACAAGGAAATAAGGATGGGATCAAATTTAGCACGAAAAGGGAAAAAGATGATATACTCATTTAGATCCTGTGCCATCATTCTTGATGACGTTGATGTAGATGAACCAGTATCCTGACTTTCTGCAACAGATGCTGCAATCCCAACTACTACACATCATTACTTGATGAATTAGAATTTTTATTGCCATTTTTTCACCAAATAGATCTATCAGCAATGATAATGACACTATTTCTCTAACTCTGCCTACCCTAACATGCAGCATACACCAACCTATCCCCTCTCCCAAATATTTGTGATCTTGCAGGATCATTTTAATAATTCTTGTTAAGCCCCCCCACCCACCCCCCCTCTTCTCTTTCAGGAGAACTTTCTATTGCAGAAAAGGGAAATGATAACATTAAGGGATTCCAAAAGACCTATGTTCATACCATCCTTAGAGTTATCGTTTGATTCTTTGCAGGATTGCCTTCCCAGCCTGTATTTCTGCATGCCAAGAAATTAAGGAACAGCTGTGAAAAGAAAAGAAGGTATCACCTTGAAGATCAAAATCATTTGTGAGAGAATTGTATCAACAAACCTGTAGGTGAGATTTTAAGTGATATAGAGTGAGGCCCTTTACTCCCATTGTCCTCATAATCGTTTTTGGTGTTGCTTCTGCAATATATGCCAAGTAAAAAACATAAAGCTTTCATAAGCAATCGATCAAGAATTGTGTGTTCTAGAATAAAAATTCAAATTCACTTGACATAAAAATGTTGATCAATCATAATTAGGTTTCAGAATGCAAGCTAACCATATGGTTTCAGGACAACTTGGGAATGAATATTATAGGCCTGTAATTTGATGGTTATATTTCCAATGAAACCAGCTATAAAAATACTTCATTGGTAGCAGAACAATCACAAGTATGGAGTTCAAAAAACTGAAATCCATAAAAAAAAGCAACTACAAGTATCATCTTTACCGGCTCCAATCCAAGTTGTAGCTAATTAAATTCAAACATAACACTACTATCATCAGATTAGCCTTTTGACTATGACGTCGTATATAGCCCTTGAATTTGAGGTCATATTATCATGCAAGCATTCACATTTTAATTGGCAATTAAGCCTCAAGCTAAACGTTGGCGCCCATACTAAACCATAAACTTAACATCCATGAGAACAATTTTTACAACACAGCCACACCACATGTATCAATATTGTTCTTCAATGCTAGGCTTGAATATTCAAGTCACCATCCACAATCCTAGTCGGAAATGTTTTGCAGATCTAAGCATGTCACGACCACACTATCGGTATTTTCTATGCTCCATTTTCTATCCTTATTTCTTTTTCAATCTGACACAGTGGGCTTTTAAATAACAACAGAGCAAACCACTAAACCTGATTTATTCTAAAACAGTCCAGCAATAAAGCAAACACATAGAATCGTAGCACTCGTCATGCCGATGACAATTTACCCAAAAAGCAGCAATCTCTAAAACAGCAATTTGAGTGCACTGGTGCCTTAGATACTTGACGAACACTGAAAAAGGAACTGTTAAGTAATGGTGTATAGATATATGCTGACAATATGAGGGATAGGTGCATGATTAATAATTTCTTTCTGATTAATGAAAATCACTCAAACAAAATGTACTTGAGCTTCACTAAACATGTTTAAGAAAACCTCTCAGCCCGTCACCTGTAGTTCGTGCAAACATCTATCATATCCTACCAGCAATCTACTTCTAAAATCTCCCTGTGGGATATCCCAGACAGCGTAGTGATCATTCCTTCTTTCAATTTATGGTTGGACACTAGCCAAACTCTCACTCCCCACCCTCCCCAAATTGTGATTAGGAAACCGGGAATGAAGAGATAGGAATAGGAATTATAGTACCATTGGAAGAAGGGGATTTCCGCATATTTATGCTTTTCATTCCCAACAGAATAACCTAAGTGGATGAAAGTCACATCTCGATGTTCATGTCACAAAAGAAATTATGATAAATTTATGCCAAAGAAATGGGATACAAATCAGAAGATATATATGGGGGTTGGGATAGAATGCGAAGATAAAATGTTGATCTTGATAAGCCTTTCTCAAAGTGGTTTATTTCAAAACTTTGGGTATTATTCTTTGTGTTTGGCACTTCTCCAACCATTCTGAAGGTAGTAATTACAGTAGGACGAAAATAACAGCCATGACAGGGTGTTGAAGGCAGCTCCGATTTGCTAACAGCATGGGTATGAAAATGTTGTCACTTGGTGGTAGAAAAGAAATGACAGGCTTTTGGGAATAGAAGTGCTGGAAACAATTAGGGTGCAATGGTGTAGTAGTGCACAAGGTGGGGGAAAATATGTAATCAAACATTCCAATTGAAAATGAATATAGCAGGATTTAAAAATCTTCATTCCTCAGTTAAAAAGATAATAACTACTTCCAAGTTGACCAAAACACTCAGAGCTCTAGGGAAAAGAAGCAGAAAAATTGATTACACAGAGTACCCATACACTTCTCTTGATATATGTTTTCCACTTCTAGTCCTCTATCTACTGAAAACCATATAATCATGGGAAAGGCGTAATTTCCAGTTTCAATTCACAGCAACCAGATTAGAACTCTTTGTTCTGTAATGATGGAAGAAAACAGTTAAAATCAACAACTGCAAAAATGAGTAAATTAGCTTCACCATTAACAAGATTATGCATTTCAAATCAAACCACCAAATTGGAGATCTTCTGACTTGCCTGCTAAAACTGCTGCCCAGCACCCACTAACTAGAAGAAATTGCTCATTTTTTTAATTAGTTGTTGACTTAAAAATTGCTGGAAACACAATATAGGCAACTCATATTCTCATTATACTTTTTTATCCTAATTTCTTATGAAAATGATCAATATTCCTGTTCATTGATTTAAAAGATTATCCAATATATTCATCAAAAACAAGAAGCAAAGTATGAGAATAATTCCAAATGCCCAAGCTTTTGAACACTTTGGACTTAATACTAAATTCCCAGCTTAAAAATCTTTGGTACTAATGATTGCATAGTTCCACTTAACTACGCTGAGCATCATTATTACTCATATTATTTTCTTTGAATATAATATTAAAATTTGTATCAGCAGGAAATATATCGATTCGAATTTTGAGAACAGGCAAAAAGATAATAAGCTTATATTATAGGTTCTTTTGCTCATTTGCAGAGAGTCAAAAAATACAGAGCAAAAGCTTGTCATTTACTTTTCAATGTAATATCCAGTCAATAGCTTCATCATAAATCTTTATAGATTCTATGCAAATAACAGATAATATCCTTTCCCAAGCAAAGACAAATTTGTATGTTGCCTTAATTTGTCCTTTTAGTTGTATCTTCCAGCAATAAAACGATTTCGGAAACACTCGGGAAGCACATAACAACAGCACTAAAATCAACAGATTAAAGAATTAGAAAAAACAATAATTACAAAAGCAAGGAACATTGATGAGTCAATTAAAATAACTGAAACACTGAAGATAAGACTGCTTGCATTGTCAATATCATATCCATTTTAAAAAAGAGCATCATATTAAGAAAATATAACCCATGGGTCAGCTCCACTAACTCAAGAAAAAGAGAGAGGAAAGAGGACCCATTACAACAGTATGAAAAACAACGACACAAGTGAAAACTGCCAATTCATCCATAATAAATGTATGATAATATCTGATAGCAACAACTAACCCAAAAAAATTAAAAAAAAAAGGGAAAAATCCTCTAATTATTGAGGGGGAAAAAAAATCTCCCCTTTCATCACTCAAAATCATCATCAATGACTAGTAGTTAGCCATACTCAAAATCACCACATCAATTACATTAATCACCCCATAAAAATATGATCGTAACAAATTAAAAGGGAAAAAAAAAACATCTTTTATCAATTACAGAATCCACTGAACTAAATTTAAGCAATCAAAAACTTGAATTTATAAAAATAAAATAAAAATATAAAAGGAAGAAGAATTTCCCACTCATTACATAAACCCAGAAACATACATTTAAAGCTCCACCAATAAGCATCAGCATAAATACGAAGCATCAAACTGAATTCAAAACAATAACGAACAATAACGGATAGCTAACACAAACCAAACTAGTAGAAAAGAAGTGAAAATAAGCACTGTCAAGTCAAAAAAAACCACATTCTATAATAAATAAATCTTAGACAAAGAAAGCGAAGCTCAAAAACCAAAAATCAATATATACATATATATAAGCAACTGAAAATGGAGAGCATATACGCACTATCAGGTCCACCGAGTTGGGTGACAGCATCGACGAATCTCTCGTGGAGCTCGGCTGTCCACCGGAGACGGGGCTTCGGATCCGTAGTAAGAACCAAGCACGCATCCCCAGGCAAGTTGGTTCCGTCCAGCGAGCCTTGAAAATCTCCATGTCCTACACTCCCATCCAACGGCAACGAGTGTATCGCCGAGTACATTTTTCCTTGATATAATAAAATTTTCCGGCGGAAAATGTAGGAAAGATCCGATTGAGGTTCCAGGGTCGGGGCACGGAGCCCCGATAAAGACAGAGAAGCAGAGATATATACGAGTAAAATGGGTTTAATTTTCTGTGCTGTGTAAGAGAGAGAAAGAGAGTTATAAGACATGCAGAGGTTAAGACAGCGATGGGTTTTTTATTTGCATGATGTGTTATTTTGTCTATGGCTTTCTTTTCTTTTTCTTTTATTTTCTTTCTCTTTCTCTGTAATTTTCTTTTTCTTTTTTCTTTTTTTTTGACTCTACATGTATAGATGTATTGTGCAGAGGGTATTTTGTACTGTATCTATGTAGGAAAATGGCAGGAAAGAACGTGGACTCCGGTTGGCACATGGTGGTGTCGTGTATTTGCTTATGGGATGTTTGGTTACCAGGAAAATAAAAGGATGAAACGAAGGTGACATGTATGTACTGCATTAAACCCTATATTTACTGGTTTAATACTTTGTGTAGTTGGCACCTTTGGCTAGAAGTGATATTTAGATAAAGCGCCCGCAGTAACAGTGATTAATCTTTAAATATTAAAAATAATTAATTATTTCAATTTTTATTTTACATGGGCATAAATTTTTCGTAGAAAATATGAATATATAGTAATATTCAAAGTTTTTTTTTTCTTTCGTGAAATAGTGAATAATTCCTTTTTAAATTTTGACAAAATAATAATCTTTTAAAACAATTATAACATGTTATAATTATGTTTTTATTTTTATTCTTTGCCATTATCACTTTCTTACTTCAAATCACATATTAAAATCATGTGAGTTCCTAAATATTGACTCTTATTCTACTCGAAATTTATATCCAACACATGATAAAACTTGCTATCTTTTGTCCCTTTTGTACCTAACAATTTGGTGCATTTTTGTGTCCTATATTAAAAAGTACTCACCATTAGTCAATAAATCCAAAAAAAAAAAAATAAATAACAAATGAATTTTTTTTATTAATAAAAAATTTAATCATAAAAACAAGTTGTGAAACATTTTTTATTTTTAAAATCTATATACTTATCTCATTTTTAAATATATTCAAATTAAGTTCAAATTGATATCCCAAGAGTAGGGTAACAAGCAATTTTCCATTGGGATATTATAATAAATATCATATTTTGAAATTTTATTTTAAAAAAATATCAATTTGATTTTAAATATTAAAATAATATCATTTTCATTATTTATTTACTATTTTACTCTTTTATTGTCGCATTCGTTAACCATTGCCCGTTGTTGTTTGTTGTCGTTTTCATTATCGTTGCTGATGTTATCATTATCGTCGTTGTTGTTGTCATCGCCTTTATTGTCTTCATTGTTACTATCATCGATGGTTGCTAATCGTCGTGATTGAATCACATAAACTGTATAAAGATAATTAGGATTACTGATTTATTTTTTTATCAATATTGATATTCTCTTAATTTTTATTTTTATTTTTTAATTAACAAGCCTTCTTTCAACATTTGTTAAGTTGCCCTTTTTCCATTAGGGACCAAAAATCCAATAAAAGAAAAAAGAAACCAACAAAATCCCTCGAGTATAATTATGTGATTGGTCTATTTAATTGAAGTTGAATCCAAAATTTTGGGCCACACAAAAAATGACCTCATAGTAATAGAAGGAGGTGGGTGGATAAGGAGTGGAGGGGGGGACAAGGCCAGTCCAAGGGCATTGGAGGCCAGCAAAACAAGGGCGGCCAGTTTTGGACCCCACAATTGTACAAGTAGTAGCAGTAGTAGTGTATGGCTGCCATTATTCAATTCTATTTCAAGATAAAAAAAAAATTTAATAATTGAAATAAAACTTATATGCAAGTGTATAAAAGGACAATATGACAATGAACCTATGTCTTGTAAATTCCCAATTATGGTGATTGGAGTGGAGTTGCTTCTTCTTGCTGACAATATCAACTTTATTTTTTCTTTTGGTTTGATTTTATTATAAGATACTTATTTATTTTAATTAATATATATTCATTTGCTCACACTAATCAAAAATTGGATTCTTATATACATCATTTATATTTATAAATTGTTATCTAAATATAAATTTTAATTTTAATTAGTATTATAAAATATAAGTTCATTTTTCAAATATAGTAAATTGATCATTAATTTACAATATTAATTTGTATACATATTTTCTTGTTCAGATCAATGTGGTATTCAATAAAATCTTTCGAACAATGGTTCTTCCAGATTTTAAATTTCTAATTTGAACATAAAGTTTGTAAGATGATGCAATCCGTTTCCACTGATCCAATTATTTTTTAGTATATTTATTCATATTTTAGACAAATTAATTTTAAATGAACAGAAATTATGAATATAAATTTAATTATAGAATCCATTTTATGACTTGAATCTCAAAATTTCAGCCTTAACCATTTATTCACAGCCATAATTTTCATCCTAGCTAGGAGGAAAGGAACATTACCCTTTAAACCATTTGGAGGGGTGAGTGAGGCAATCAAAACTGAGTCAAAAATGACAAAATTTTTGTTTTAACTAAACCTTTTTGGGTGGGTTGGTGCATTTATTACATAAATATCTTTGTAAAGTTAGAAACTTTAGGCACTGACAAAATGGCAGTCATGGGTTAAATCAAGTGCTGTAATAAGTTGAACCCTACAAAAAGGTAAGAGATTCCTTGTCTTCTCTTGTTTCAACTCTTTCATGAGCCTTTTAAGTCATACCCATAGTTTTGTTTTTTTGTTTTTTTTTTTTTCTGTGGTAAAAAGACTTGTTTGGTTTCCCAGATTGTGTATTTAAGGTATTGAGTAGCTCAGTTGCTAAAATATTGTTTGGAAAACATAAAATGGAATATTTGCAGGTGAGAATCATGGATATAGACATGGGTTGGTTTATCCAATGGATAGTTCAAGACTTTGAAGATTCTAATAAATGGAATCAAAATTAATCCCTAAGATTTTTGTTCTTGTTCAATTCAATTGGATTTACTTTTAAGCCTGATGAAAAAATCGATGACTTGAATCGACAATTTTAGTTCAAATTGACTTTAATATGAACTTTTTTATTCAGATTTCAATCCAATTTTAATCTCAATAGAAACAATGTCGAACTTTTATGAAAAATTTAGAATTAAAAATTGAAATTTTCAGAGAATACATCTATATAAATTCAATTACCAACTTGATATTGGGGCATTTTCTAATGGAAAAGAGAGAAAATGAACAACCAAAATAATGATAAAAGGTTAAGAAATGGATTCATTATTCCTAAAATGCAATTGATTGATTCCACTTTATTTGTTTATTTACAAATTAGTTAGACCATCTATTGCTTCCAAAGGAATGGAGACTAAACATTAGACAAATACTATGAATGTGGGTTGATATGTCTATTTATTAATTTGTGATCATCATTAATAGAAGGAGATAAATATTTAATTAAAGTTTTATTTATTTTGTAATCAAGTAGGTTTCTTTAATTTATAAAATAAAGATTTTTGAATTAAAATAATAGACTAGCTCTAATTTATATAATCCTAAGTAAGTGGCATAATATTGTTAAATTAATATTGAATTTTTTAGGACACATCACTCTCTAGAATAGGACATTTGTGAAGGAAAATGATCTCTTGTTCTTTATAAAAGGCAATTTCATTTTTTAGATGGGTGTGAAAATGAGGCTTTTTACCTTTAAAATTAAAATTGAGAGGTGGTAGCTTTTAAGATATGGTCAACAGCTCAATTTAAAGGAAGAGCATGCATGAGGAGGACCACATTGTATAAAAATAATAATAATAATATTAAAATAGTTATGAACACCTCACCACCACACTATTTGGTAGGCTCTTATCATTTAATTTAACATTTTTATGTACTTATGACAAATATATATTTGGCTAAATTCAACCATTCATCATCCTCCAATTATAGGAATTCAATGAGGCCAAGGTCTTTGCAGTTGACTTTTATTTATATATATTATCAAAATTTTAAAATATTAAAAATTGAAGATAGAAGATAAATAATGGGTACATAAGGCACATTTGAGTTCACCAGCACAAATCTTTACAAGGTTATAGCTTCGATTTATGAGAAGAAAACACTTAGGGGATGTATATAGTTGATTCGATTTAAAATTTAATGAAATCAAATCGAATTTATAAAATAATACCCAACTCAAATAAAGACAATATTTAAAACCTATGTATACCAATTTGGTTTGGTCAATTTACTTGGTTTTTAGCATTTATTTTTCTGGTTGGTTCGGTTTTGAATCCTCTTTTTACGTTCATAAGACCTAAACCAACAGGAAGAAAAAAAGGTTATCCACTTAATCAAAGACTGAATTTTAGATATGAAAAATGATTTAATTAAACCGAATTGATTCGGTTTAACCTGAAACATGTTCATCCTCACTTATAGAAAAAGGCAATTATAAACTAATATATTTATCCTGCCATTAGTTCCTAAATGAACTCATGAGGTTGCACGTCAAGGTCAAGCCATGGTCTAACGGTTCCAGTATTAAAAAAAAAAAACGGAGTCAGTCTTTTACGGAGTTCCTTGCCAGCAAGAAAATTGATAAGGGCACGTCAATCCATTAATTACCATTATACTCATAAGCAATATATATACTTTGTGTTTCATATGCTTTTAAAATGGTAAAATCCAGGTGTACCACATGGCACACTTGCATGTTGAATCATCATCAACTAATACATCAACTACTTTTAACAATAAACAAATATTTTGGGAAACGTACATTCTTCTAGTAGCAATGATAATTGTTTTTTTAATCACTAATATGTATTAGATTAATCGTGTTAATTTAATTTAGTTTAGTGATAATCAACATACAAAGAATTGAAAGCAGCTACCGCCCTAGAAAAAATTTTTTAATTTACTTTTATATTCAGCTCTCCAAAATTTTATAATGAATAAAATTTTAAATATAATTATGTCTCAAATTTATATCTTAGGTCCGTGGCCGATTACTATCAAATTATAAGAAAAAACATTTTCGAGGGTACATTTATAATTTCAAAGAGAAATAGAAATATTACCAATTAGATATGGTCAAATTAATCATTTTACTAGCTTAAAGAGTGAAATGTTCTGAATTTGAATCTCTCAGATTATAAAAATTTTCACTATTTCAGTGAGTAAAGAGATAGACTACCCTCTATTGGTAGATATTACAACCACTATGTAATTATAACATTAGTATAATTAGAAAGGTTATATAATTTTCTTTTGAGAAAAAAAATTATTTTAAATATTTTAAAATAATAATTAAATAGGTAATGAGCACCGGATACTTGTGTAATTGAATTTTAATTTGACATGCACACAATATGGGTAATAAAATTATTATCCGAACCCATTTATTTACTATCCAAAGCCGCTAGAATCAGATCGGATCGTAGTTGGTATCTATTGAATTGAGTAAAATTGATATTCATGCTCCTGTGTAACCTATCTTGTTATTTTAGTTCGTTAGATCTTATAATAAATAAAGAAGAGACAAAGAAATATTTATTTATTTATTTTTTATTGTTATTATTATTATTATAAAGTATTAGCAATCATCAAATTCTAATCATCATTGAGGTCCAGAAGGTCATGCTTGATCCCATATTGTTATTGCTACAATAATAGTGTTGAGGGAGACATAGTTGCTTTTGAAATCTATATTTTTTTTGTGCTAGTTGAAAGATCAATTGAAAATTTATTTGTGGACACATTTTTCTTGCGTTAGCATCATCATTGTCACTGATCAATATCTTTTTCAGTCATTAAAGTAGTAAAGTGTTTCAAGTAACTAAATTAGATTTGTTTGTTTGGTTTTAAATTATTGCACCAAACTCATTGATTGAACTTTTCCCAAACCATGAGATTTTTTTTTAATAAAATTCACTATTTCACTGTTTGATTTCTTTTTTTTTTTTTAATTAGGGGATAAGATAATATTTGTTTTTAATTTTACATTTTCTCTAAAAAAAAATAAAAACTCTCATATATTATGTTAATTATATTTATTTAATTTAATTAAAAGTAAATATAACTTTGATGTGAAAAAATGTTAAAATTTTTAAAGGTGAGTGTACGTAGAACTATAGAAATCTCGATCCATTTTCGAAAACCGTCATAAAATTTTTTGTCTTGAAACAAAATTTGATAGTAAATTTAATAATTCCATCCGAATCCCGTTTTGAAAATAATTTTACAATCAGGTTTTTTTTTTATTAAAAACGACCCATGTACTCGTCGAATTACTATACTTGTCTTTTTTTCTTTCTTAAATCTCAAATTATGTCTATAAAAATTAACATCAATCACTTATTAAAGTAATGGTGATATGAAACAAAAAAAAAAAGAATTAATTAATTAATTAGGTTTTTCAACGATTTATCAGATATTCTATTTAATTTTTTTTGTTAAATAAAAAAATAGAAAGATGATAAGATAAAACATTGACCATAATTAATAAACACATTTCAAAAGCCCAGAAGGAGAGAAGATGATGCGTTTTAATTGTTTTATTGGGTCCTGAAGTTCACTTATGGGTAGGCCCATATAGATTAGGGGGTCTAGTTCAACGACAGTGCAAGAGCGTACAAATCTGTCGCACAACTGAAGGCCATTTACTTATTATGGGGTATAAGAAGACGCAACGGCCTGTCGTTATTCAACAATTGCATATCACTGAGAAAAGGGGTTTTAGAATTTCCTTAAACCCTCCTCTTCCCATTTCTTCTTCTTCAACCTCAAAAATACAAAAAACAATCTCTACTTTCCATCAAATCATTGATTAACATGTTCTTTCGGTCTCCAAATTCTCTAAGGCTCAATTTTCTCTTCCATAGACAAAGAGGTAGCTTTCTTTCTCTCTTCATGAATATATATACCATTTTCTCCCTCTAACTCTCATTTCCTTTCGCAGTGATTTCATATGAGTTTACACCTCCTTTATTTCAAGCCTTTTACTCCACTCACATTGTTGGTGATAAACCAATTCTAGTGAGTCATTTGCTTCCAGCTTTTGCAATTCAAATCTTTCGTGTGTTTATTGCCATGTGTATGTGCGAGTGAGATTTTTCCTCCCTCAATTTGGCAGGTTAGAGATTTCATTCATTCTGCGTTGTACCATCCAAAACATGGCTACTTCTCTCAGAGATCGAGGTCTGTTGGAGTTCTTGAGAAAAGCATTAGGTTCAATCAACTTGAAGGTGATTATTTTTTTAAAATATAATTTCTTGCTTTTCTACTCGTATTTATTTGGTATTTCTTTGGATTCTGATTTTCTGATTTGGGTTTTGTGGAATTAATGTGAAATTTCAAGAATTGAAATATTTGTTATCCAAACTTTTGAACAAATTATCCATTTTTTTCTTGTTCCTTTGCTTTACTTGGTAAACTATTTCCAGAAAATGAAATGCTAGGAAAGAAGCTGTAATCTGGGGTGTGTACTGGAAATTGCATTTTTAATTCATGTGTGCATTGAGTATCAAAAATTGATCAGAGATAGAGAGTATAGAGGTGGTTGGATTTGATGCAACGGCTCAGTGAAATGAGAAGAATTGCAAAAATATGAAAGCACAATGCACCAAAGTGGTTATTTAAATGATATCAGTTTATGGCATCAACTTTTCACGACTTGATGTTAATCATGTAGAGGCCAAATTACAACTACTCTATGTTCTTGAGCTTTTAATTTGCTAAAATTTGCGAACTACTTGAATCTGAAAGTATCATGCTTTTTTATTCTAAATATATATGCTACTAAAAATGTTAAACCAGTTTTGGGATTCATACATATTGCTTCATTTGCACATTATAGGAAGAAAAGCTTACATGAATCACTTGGATAAGGTCTACAAGCAGAGTGACACTTCATGGTTTACTCCAGTGGAGCTTTTTAAGGTAATCTCTGTCTATCTCTGAATGTTTTTCAGATCTAAGAATCTGCATTTATATAATGAATAAGCTATGTTGTTTGGTTGACAAAAACGGGAATCACTTTCTCATTTGGAATTTCTGTTGCTTCCAAGGATTTAGTCATTTGAAAGCTTTTCCTTTCATTGTGATTGGCCTTCTCCTTGGTTTTATGATCTCATTCTGGATGTTCCATGAATTGCCACTATTTATTCTAAGGAGTAGCCGGTGTACCATTTAATTGTTCCACTTTTTGCTTGCTGTGGTGTTTGACAATCTTGGTCGCACTAGTTTGTAGTTATTGTACGCATTTTTGTAATCTAACATGCTGTCATCTTTTTATTCGTCAACTGTCTGTAACACATGCTGGTGATTTCATTAAGTTATCCAGTGAAAGTAAGACATGGTTCTGAATTATGTTTTTCGGGTTTTGGGTTTAATGTAGTTGCAGGGATTTGAAGGAGAACTGGATGTATCTAGAATGCAATGTTTTTCACTATTAAGAATGTAATATCAATTTTACTTTTGTGGTATTAGCAGTCAAAATGGTGACTCCAAAACATTTATTGACAAAGTAAATGAAATGGAAGTTTTTCTTCTTATTGTCTTTTTTTGTTTTGCTTTCTAGCCCTTTGGTATTTACTCTCTTTTTTTTTTTGTAGCCTTGGTATGCGCATGGGATCGCAGAAGCCATAATGCGTACAGCTAACCTTTCAGTTCCACTAAAAGTGAGTCCTATGTTTCTCGATTAACCAGTAAACATATCAAGCATTTGATATTTTGCATGCATTGTTTTTTGTTTTGCTTTTTTTTTTTTTTATTTTTTCTTTGTATCGTCATATTTTAGTATACTTCAGAGTGTTGACATTAAAAGCATGGTCGATTTGGTGTAATGGAAATTTCATTAGTAAGTGTTCGACCAATGCATTGATGCTGGAGTGCTAAATTTGTGGATGGGATGCCCAGTTTTGTTCTTTCTGAGAAATCATTGGATTTGAAAGAATATCTTGAGCGCAAGTTTAACTGACACATCGGCTATGTCATATGCTCAGTTTTCATTAGCCTTATGTTATCCCCCCCCTTTGTTCTGTAGTTTCAGGTTACAATAATTAATTATTCAGCATTTCTAATGTTTTTTTTTTAATTATTATTATTTTTTTTTGTGTGTACATGTGTTTATAAGAGTAATGTTGCTTTCACGCCGGATTCTAAAATTTGTAAAATTTAGGCATTATGCATGTCAATTATTTCTTGCTTTTGGTGTTTCATATTGTGGGTTATTTGGTCAATAACTTGAAGGGGAAAATTGATTTTGCTGCTGTACAATTTCCACTCAGATATATGAAATTGGCGGTGGGTCTGGAACTTGTGCAAAGGGCATAATGGATTACATAATGTTAAATGCACCTGCAAGAGTGTACAACAGTATGACTTATACGTAAGTGTATTTTCCATCCCATTATCTAACAAAAATGAAATGAAACCTTTAGATGATAAATGTTATAAATGAGTGATATTCATCTAATTTTGATGCTTTCTGATAAAAGCATCCTAGGACAGTTTATGCATTCCCCTAGAGATGGCAATGTGGCTACCTTCCTGCACCTGTTAGGACTTTATTTTCTGCACCTGTTTGGACCCCTCATTCATCTAATGTGAATGAAAATTAAAAATCTCTAAAATTTGTAAAATGTTGTTCTTGCAACTCGGTAGGTCAATGATCCATCCCCTTAGGATTGTCCCTCCTTCATTTTTGTTTGTCTGGAAATATATTTCACTGTAGAAAGTTAAGGAATGAATTTTATTTCTCACTTTCCTGAACCAACCTCTATCATAGATGCTTTTCTTTCACATGTTTAAGAGTTAAATATTTCTCTGCAAATATTGGATAAATGGCATCAAAAACAAGAAAATTATGGCTGCAGTACCAATAGTCTACTTAACATGTCCATTTTTTCTCACTGGGAAAAGGAAAGTGTTGGATTTGCTGAGACAGTGTTAAATTTTCAGTGATTATCTAAATGCGATAGGATATATACTTAACATGTCCATTTTTTCTCACTGGGAAAAGGAAAAGTGTTGGATTTGCTGAAGACAGTTGTTAAATTTTCGTGATTATCTAAATGCGATAGGATAATATATATATATATATATATATATATATATATTATATGTGGTCCCAGATGCCATAATGTTATATTTGGACTTGCTGTTGACATGCGCATATCCTGTCTTAAAACTTTGTGGTATATATATATATATATATATATATGTGGTCCCAGCATGCCATATGTTATATTTGGACTTGCTGGTTGACATGCGCATATCCTGTTCTTAACTTGTGTTTCATTTGGCACAGTTCAGTGGAAATCAGTCCATCACTTGCTGAAATACAAAAAGAAACTGTTGGAGAAATTCGTAGTCACTTGTCAAAGTTTAGAGTAGAATGTCGTGATGCTGCTGATCGGAGTGGATGGGGTATGGTTCTTTAAATTCTGTAAATTTTCTTTTTATTATTATTGCTGATTGATTTTTGTTCCTGTTTCTATTTGTTATTCAAAAGTAATAAGACATAATAATACTCAAGAACCATGATAGAGCTTAAGTTCCATGAACTTCTCATTAATATGGTTTAACTAATTGGAGGTGATTAACACCTATTGCTCCCGCTCCTCTTATCTCTCTGGCCCTGGTAATCTCAGCTGCAGCCTGGATAAGTGGCAAACAGTGTCATGAATTCTGGAAGGATTTATGGTAGAAAAGCTTCTTCTAGAGACCCCATACTACATGGCATACTAGAGATCCTATAAAGTGGACAGCTTTATTATATGGACTAATGTGCAAGTAGAGTGAAGAGTCTGTGGATCACATTACTCCTCAACTACATGTTTAATTCCTCATTTTCCTTTTGATTATATTTATAAGGTCATAGAGTGTGCATCTACTTTGTATTTTAAGCATCTAAGATAGTTTAAATACTAAAATTAGAGATTGAAACTTGTTAGCTTTTCTAATAGGGGATGTGGAGCAACAACCATGTTGGGTAATCATGCTTGAGGTATGTTCTATCTTGAGTTGCTACAGTTTTGTGTACAAAGTTATTTGCTCCTCTTTTTTTCTTAGTCTAAATAATACCGATATTAATTCATGTAAAGACATAAGAAATTTAATCTTATTTTGTGATGTATATGTAGAATGCTTATTACTTGTCCTAAAGATTTATTGGTCTATTTGTGTTCTCTCCCCTCCCCTATATTTTAAAAATAGACCCATTGTGATGGAATAGCAATAATAAGTTACTTCCTTGTACCTGTCGAGTGGCTTCCTCGCTAGCATCCTTATGAACGTTCAGCCCCAGAATTTTTGCATTTATACATTTGATACATTTATTTCTTGCAGGTTCTTGATAATCTTCCGCATGATCTTATATATTCTGAAAATCAAGTTTTTCCATGGAAGGAAGTATGGATTAAGCAACATGACAAGTAAGAAGCGATGTTATATCACTATCCTTCTATTACTTCATAATCCAACTTCCAATACTTTCATATTGAAATGCGTATACTACAACCTTTTGTTATGTATGTTATAATTTTTAATAGGAATAAGTATAAGCCTCATGACCTACTGGGGATGGTACAGAATGTAATTTTAAAGCCTAAAAGATTTTAGAATCTTGACGTTTAACATAAAATTATAACAGCCCTTGTTAATTACAGTTAATGAGGTTTCCATTATGTCTGCAGTTGGACCATTTCATGTCATCCTTCATAGCTCAGGTCTTTTGCATTTGCAGGGAAAGGCTCTCTGAGCTTTACAAGCCACTACAAGACCCATTAATAAAGCGTTGTGTTGAGATCATGGAAGTGGATGGTAACCAATCTGTATCAAAAGCAAGAAGTATTTGGTCTAAGCTCTTCCCAAGACCTCGAAGATGTTGGTTACCAACTGGCTGCTTGGTATAGTCTCAATAATTCTTCTTCCTCTTCTTTTACTTTATTTTATTATTTTTCCAAATGTAAACTTCTTGCACTAATAGTTTGGGTTTACAGAAACTACTAGAGGTGTTGCATGAGGCATTACCAAAGATGTCTTTGATTGCTTCAGACTTTAGCTACCTACCCGATGTAACCATACCTGGTGAAAGGGCTCCTTTGGTTTCAACCAAGGTAATCAATCTTTGTCATATCCTTTTACATTTCATGTACAGATTATTATGCTTTATTTGAACTCATTCAAGTTGTATGTTCTGCTTTCCATTATCACTTTATTGTTCTATTACAACTGATATTCTAAAACATCACACTGGATAATGTGGAAGACTAAAAGGCCATAGCTGGTCCTGGACTTGGAGGGGCCTTCTATATATCAATGTAACTTGTTACAGTTTTGCGAAGATGTTTTCTCTTGAATTTAAACAATCTTGAGAATGCAAGGTTTTTACTGATAGACAAGAGAAGAGCAACCTAAAATGTAAACGCCATGGGGGCCTTATAATTTAATAAAGAAGATAAAAAGAAACTGATGGCACCATTCATTCTCTTGCAAAAAGGAGTAATTTGCTTGTTAGCCTGTAAACATGGTAAACTGATTGCCAAAATATTTTGAACGACTCCTTCCTGGAACAAGATTTTATTTTTTCTTTTCTTCTTCCTGGTAATTTTATTTGGATATTATTAAGATCTTATTTGATAGTGACTTCATGAAGTTGGTGTCAAAACTTAGGATCCATGGTTGTTTGTCATTACAAGAGAGAGTTGCTGGAAATGTTTTGATTCTTTGTCCATTCTCTCTCATTTGTACTGCTGCTCAAGTTAGGCATATAGGATTTTATGATTTTATCAACTAAAGATTTAAAGGTTAGTGATGGTTTATTGCAGACTAAATGAAACTTGTGTCACTGAGCAGAAGGACATAAAAGAATAATTTTTTAAATTGATAAACATCTAAATTTGATGTTGAATTTAATTTCACGTTTCAAGAACATCAGATTCTTAGAACAGAAATGATAGAAGATATTCATGTGCAAAATTTTTATCTGATATATAGATTGCTAAATAGTTAACATTATCCAGTTAATATCAATTCTTGTTGCCTTAAAAACTCATGATCCTTGGCTTTATCTGTAGTATCTTAAGACCTTCCCCTAAAACAAAAAAGGATACAGGAGATGTTCTCCTTCCCCCACCCCCCCTTTGAAGATGATTTCATCTTCAGTTTCTTTCAGATGCTGGGAGTCAAAGATAATTTACCTTATTCACCTTTTGATCTGCAGAAAGATGGCCGCAGCTCTGATTACAAAAACTATCTCGACGCAAAGGTGTTGTCTCTCTCTCTCTCTCTTTCTCTCTCTCTCACACACACACACACACACTCTTTTCCTTGTGTCATTATGTGAAGTTTCTGAAATGACCTCAGAACTTATTGTTTGTGTTTCTTAATTCCTTTCTCGAGGTCATTCTTGTATCATGCAATGTGTTCTGCTAGGTATTGAATATTTAGGTTCTTTAAATAAACTCCTAGTGATTGTAGGGTGATGCTGATATCTTTTTCCCAACGGACTTTTGGCTTTTGGAACGTATGGACCATCACTGTTCTGGGTGGCTGAAACAACATGGAGATAAATCATCCAAGCAGGGGAAAAAGAGGCGAACCCTTGTAGTAAGTTCTTTACCTTGGGTAGGGATCTAGTGATTGAAGTGAGTTGTTGTAAGACATTGAGGTAGTAGCATAGCGGTTGAGTGCCTGTCTCGTAGTGTATAGGGTCAGGAACTCAAACACTAACAGCCCCTTTTCCCTTTTGAGAATTTTCAATGTACCAAAGAAAAAAAATCAGTTGTTGTAGGTCTGAATTTAGTAGAGACAATTTTGCTCTTTCCTGTGATTGATCATCAGTTCCTTCAAGAATTGAATTGTTCAGATGAATGTTGCTGTTGAATAGTTTCAATATGGTCTTATTTTTCATTTCTTTGCTGCCATATTTTCAGCAAATAAGAGATTGGTTTATGAAGAAATGAAAACGGCTGTTGAGAAAGATCGATCAACAGTGAAGGTATCCGAATTGTCAAAGCATGGACTAATGGAAATAACTAGAAAGAGGGTATGTCGCCTTGTGGTGGTTATCTTCTCTCTGTTTCTAGTATTGCTTCTTTTTTTTTCCAAGAGAGATTATAATTGCTCAATTGAACCTTTTCTCATCTATTGCGACTGACTAGAAAGACTCAAAATTAAGGAGAAAATGATGTGTTAAGAACTCAAAAGGAATTTATATTCAAAGGAACGTGGAAATTACCAAAACAAGATTGCCAAATGCATTTTAATTCAGTAGCAATAATGTTTGGCTTATTGCTATTTCTGGTTCAACTGATAGTAACTATTATATTAAATAATGATGCAATGTTGAACAGGTTCGACCTAGTGTGACTTTTATGATTAGTGAACCTTGCACTTGCTGTCATGCTACTGGGAGAGTGGAAGCTCTAGAGACCTCCTTCTCGAAGATTGAACAAGAAGTTTGTCGATTGCTTGTAAGTAGAGTTTATAGTATCAAATCATACTTTTAACCACATTATCCTCTATGGGCATGGCAAATAGCCCAGTTCAAGACCCATGAAAAGCCATCTATAAAAATATATCAGCTACATAGCTCCATAATTGGAGCTTTTCTGGGTGGGACTCTTGGGGTGTTGGTTAGGCTTAAGTACCAGCAGAGTAATTCTTGATAGAGGGAGAAAACGAAACTTTGTGACATGTGAAACCAAAATTTTTTAAGAGTTTGATGATTACCATATTAGGAATAATCAATTTGTTGAATCATTCCCCAATTATTTATCATTATCCTCTTTTTTCTTTTTTCTTTTTTTTTTTTTTTTTTTTTTAAAACAAAAAAAGTTTAAGCCAGTTAATTTTTTCAAGTCTTGAGGATAGTGTGAATCAAAATTATATTCTTTCAAGTTTTTATTTTTTTAAAAAATTTAAACTTTTAAGTGCCTTGTAAAATGATGGAAGTACCCTTAAATTCCTCTTGTACCCAAATATCTATCATCTTCGTTATCAAAATCGTTGCTCAACCCCCACCATTGCGACCTTCATCTCCATTTATGGCAACTCAAGCGTTCATGAAAACTTTTGTTTTTTTCAGTTTCTAGCAACCTTCATCTCCATCATTTTCTCTTCCTTTTAACATTTTCTGATTAGTTCTCTCAAAATCCATTCCAATCCCATCTCATTTTTCCATTTTTTTAAAACAAATTCCTTAGCCTGAGTCTACATAGAAAAAACCGCCAAACTATCATTGGATTCAAGGAATTGGACATTCTAGGAGCGTATATACTTTGTTGGAAGCAAATCGTTCTCGATGGAAATATATATGGGGGTTGAAAGTATCAAATGTATTGTTGCTCGGATCAAATTGAGAAAACGTTGCTATTTGCTTTTCGCTCGATATCCAAAACAAATTTCTCCTAATGTAAACATCACATCAGGAATTAAACAAGGCAATCTCTTAGACAGTCACAAAACTTTCCGGTGTCAATTCTTGAGTGAAAAAACTTCGCAGTATGTTTTGACCATCCAATAATTCTCCACATGCAAAAATATTTAAAACTGCCTGTAAGTCTTCGGGCTGGGAATCATATCCAAAGCAACTAACCACAAGAATAGTTCTGTTGGGATAATGCAAAGTGATTTTGAATGATCAAATCTATTTGTCCTCATACTGTAACCAGCAATCCAACCACGATCCCAATCATTTCTTTAGCAATACCAACCACTCTATAATTCATTTTCTGTTTAAAGTCATGGTCACTGGTCTTGAATTGATTGTCATTCAGATTGGGAAGCTCAGCTGGTCTGTCTGGTTCATTAATCTTTTCCTCTTCATCACCATTAACTAAATTGTTTTGTAGGTTCCATTATTATTTGCTGTGGATGTTGTCCTCCTGAAATGGGTTTCTTGCGGGCAATGAAGTAGTAGTATGTTGGTTAAAGAGCGTGCAAGAATTATTGATACTGATGTAGTGATGCTTATGTTAATGGCTGTACCTGTACTGTACCGGTGGCTAAGTAGCTTTTATCTTCCTGTTTGATATTTAGGCTCTTTTAGAAATTTGAGACCAAGTATAGATATATATATCATCAAGGACTCAGGGACAGGACAGAACATTGAAACTCCAAATTAAAAATTTAAGTTAATATACTCTCATGTTCAAAATGTTCAGTCAAATTCCCCACTGCTGGGTTTTGGACAAACATTTAGCAAAGTCTTTGGCTTTAACGGACTCTTTTTTTTTTTTTTTTATCTTTAACTCTTGACTTATTACAAATTGATAAAAATTTCAATTGGGAGACACGAGCGAGACTAAACCCATCCATTGTGAGTTGGAGTCTTTGAGACACGTGAAAAAAGAGCAATGAAGTACTCTTTTCGTAGTTTATACTCTTATTTTTAGGAAGCCCTCAAACAAATGTTTGCACACAACACAACACCTTACCTGGATATTGGCTTGTATTGTATTTATCTATTTAAAGGACCTTACTAGGAGATCAGCTTGGATCGGATTTATCGATTTAAAGAATTCAATATATGTGCGGATCAATGATTTATTTTATACAACTCAATCTATTAAATGCATAAATCAATAAATTATAAACGAATTTGATTGAGTACAGATTCAATATAAACCTACATGTTAAATCATTAATAAATAATAAAAATATTTTTAAATAAAATACAATTATTTGAAAAAAATTACAAAAAAATTAAATATATTTAGAGATATAATTACACAATAATATTCACAAATCATAGATATATTCTAATAACAACATTAAAATTAAATTTCTTAATAATAATAATAATACGAAAACAAATAAAGGAAGAAAACAACAATTAAAAAGCAAAGTATACTAAATATGAAAACAACTTAACATTTATATTTGATATAGGAAAACAAATTAAATTAACTTAAATTATTCATAGTTACAGGTTTTGGTTAACTTGTAACTCAAATTATAGGTTTTTCAAGTCTATCAAGATCGATCTTTTATAGAGTTTTTAACTGAAATATTTGAATATTCTTTTTTAAAAATTAATTGGCATTAAAAATTCGATGAGTTTCTACAATTTAATTCTAATACTTAAAAATTTTCCTAAATATTTTAATAAACATTTATAACCAAGTAATCAATGGACTCCAATGGATAAAACATAAATAAACTTCAAATTTTGAATTATTTAAATTCATATATGCGACTAAATTCAAACTTAAAATCAGTTGGCAATCTATATGCACATACACACCAGCAAATACAACATACTTCTTCCTGATTGCAAGTTATGGTTGCTCAAAAATTATAGAACTTTAAGACAAGGAACTTTGAATAAGATAATTCAAAAATTCAAAAATTATTGCTAATATGAGAAACCATATGGCAAATCTATATTGCAAGAAATTAAATAAAAATAACTACCACAAAATTAATCCACTCAAAAAAGAAATTGTCGAAACAGAAAACAGATTTTAGCTTCAACAACAATAATCTCAAATTTTCTGCTAGAAAAACAAATTTCTCTCCAAATCAGTATTTGATTGGAGTAATAACATCTAGCTGGGAACCAAGCTTCTCCTCTGCAATCTTCTCAGCTTTAACCCTCAGCTTTGTCAACTGCTTCTTTCTCTCGTAGGTCAATTGAGCCCTCTCCTTTCTCTTCCTCTCAAGCTCCTGCAAAGAATAATAAAGAAGGAAAAGTTTAACATATCTCTTCACATCTTGATTAGTCAGGTGAAAATACAGAGCAAAGATCAAACCATGACAACTACTAATTAAACATTGGACAATGAACCATAAAACATATAATAGAACTACAATGCAGACATTTACACAGGAACAAAGAATCCTAAATACGAGTAGTACCGAAAGCAAGACACTATAAATAGTGTTCAAAACTATTAATTTCCGATACATATCAAGGGCACGATTGCATGCACGTTGATTTGATCTATAATTTAGAAATGGGGGAAATGTATCGCCGCAACAATACACAACTAGATACAAATATTATATTCTGCAATTCTTTTCCAATCAGAAAATGATATAGCAAGTAATATACATAATTTCTAGTGACTGGAACATATCAGATAACAGCATAGTGATAATCTAGTGCGACGAATGGATACAACAGCACTGGCAAAGGCATTAATAGAATTGACAAAGTTATGCACAAAAGTGAACAATGTGACAAGTTTCCAAAAGCTGATAAGTAAAAAGTACATACCTTGATGGTCTCATAGTGGTTCCATCCTACCTCGGACGAAAGCCTGCCCAACAAACAATACTTATGTCCAGCCTGAAGCCTCAACACCCTAATTTTTGCAAAAACCACAAACACATTATCAATAAGCAGTTGAAAGCCAACAAAAAAATAAAATTCTAGCTAACATATAACTCACTTGAGAGCATCAGGAATGACCATCCTCTTCATCTTATCATATGGGGGTGGAATACCCTCATAAACCTTCAAACGAGCCAGTGCAGCCTCTCCACGCTTAGTCTTGTGGGGAATCATCCTTCAAAACAACAAAAACAAACCTTTGAGACGCAAAAAAAGCAACCTACACTCCTCGTTACTATCAGCAAACAAATTGCATGATAAAAGTCTTTAGAAACTTAAACAGAAAAGTACAAGAACCTAAAAATTTGCATCTTACGACGTTGTCTAACCTAAATTTCACAAATCAATGATGGGTTCTTCTCCAATAGTCAAAATTTCATTAAGAATATATTATATCAACTCAACAAAAAGAAAGGAACTAAGAGAAATAAAGATCATACCCACGGATTGTACGCCAGAGGATCTTAGATGGAGCACGGAAGTGGATAGGACCGTGAGAAGGCTTAGTGTTCATGCGCTTACGCAAGAATCGCATGTACTTCATTTTCTGCCTAACCAATCCACCAGAGATGCATATCTCCTCACACCTAACAACCACAACTTTTTGCCCGTTCAATAGCTCCTTAGCTATGGTAGACGCAAGCCTACCCAGCATGTGGTGCCTTGCATCCACCACAACCCTCTTAGCGCAGATCCCTGAACCAGACACCATTGCTTCTCTTGTCTCTCTATCTCTCGCTCTTAGCCAAGCGGCTGCTTCTGCTGTTTAAGAAATGGGAGAATGAGAAGAGGACGAGTAGGGATTAGGGTTTTTGGGGAAGTGGATTCATAAGGGTTTATATGGGTTTGTTAATGGTTCAATTTTGGGCTCCATTAGTCTAAGACTTTGTAGTCAGATTGTGGGCCTGGGCTTCATTACTGAGGCCCGTCAAACATAACTATGGATATAGCTTTTTGTTCTTTTTGAACTTCATGGATCTAGCTTTTTGTTATTTTCCATTATCATGGAAAAACATATATAAGTATTGATCTTTTAATGATATTTTATATTCTGCACTATAAATATTTATATCTAATTTTAATTTCAAAATAACAATTATATGGGTATTAAAATATGAAAATGATTTAAATTAATAATTTTAAAAGCTAAACTACATGTCAAAATCTCTAATTTTCTTTTAAATCAATCCCTACTATTTATATGTGTTTGTACAAGTAATGGGCTTGAAAGTCTTTCTCATTTTGGTAGCAAAATATTGGGCCCTTCATTGAGCATGGATCCATCCAATGGCATTTTGGGCTTGAAAAATCCAATAAACATAATTGAATCACCTTAATATTTCAATGGTGCAAGAAGGCAATCATTCAATATTTATAGATGTACAAGTATTAATAATTTACCCACCAGTGTTAAATTGCTATTCCTCTAGTCAACTTAGTAATATTGGTCAACTTTATAAATCCATCATGTATTTTTCATGGAAAAATAAATCATAATCCTCAATTTTTACTTTGATCAATTTGACATTTCAATGCATAAAATTCATTTATCAAGTATTTGAATTAGCGAAATCATTCTATTAAATATTCTAACTTATAAAATCAGATTAAACACTTATTTTAAAATTATTGTTTCAAAAAATTTTATATTAATGATATATTTAATCAATATTTTGCATATTAAAATAAAAAAAAAAATCTTAGATATTATTGTTATTAATATTAAGAGGTGCGCGAAGTTACTATATTTGTAATTTTAAGAGCATAATAACTTCTTTCTCAAAATTAAAATGGCACAGTATTTCTTCATGGATTGAATTTTTAATTTTATACTACTGTTTAGATACGTATATTAGTCCCTTGAAGAGAAACGTTTTTTTTGTGCGGAACACAGCAGTTTCTCAAAAATTGACCCTTTTGATGGGGCAGTCATCTTCTTCAGTAATATATGTAATCCCCCACACCCTTAATTGCAAGGGTACCATCTTAGTCTCTTGACTCTTGACCCAAAGGCATACTACAGAAGCCCCACTTAATATGCACTCATTAATTTATGATAAATATATATATTTTTTTAATTTACTAATAACGTGATATCTTGTACAAACATTTACATAAGAATTGCGGATTTTTTTTCTCGAAATGAGGGCCATCCCTTCACCAACCCATAGGGATGGTTTACACGGTTCATAACTACTTCTTTTACTGTAAGACACTTATTTAGTCAACATCTAGATCCAGTTTTACCGAAACTTTTCTGGTTCACTCTAATTATATACGATTAAAGAAAGACCATAATCACCGGGTAATTAAAATAGTATGCTTCATCATAGTCTAACACTTAAAAATACTTCCAACAAAAAAATTACATTAATCGTTGTGGCAATTAATTACCTAGGGCAAGATTAAAATGAAGAAATGAAGAATTAAACCATGAAAATGAGGGTAGGGATAGTGGAGGTGAATGAACCTTTCCCACATCCAAAAATGACTTGAAAAGCTAGGGTGACCCTACAAGACAAGGGCAGGCAAAATCTGATTGTGGGTGCAGCCTAATACGACCAAATCTTGAGTCCTGACAATTCAACCCACGGCAAGAAGGTAGGGGACTCCCTAGTTGACTTTCTCCTAATCATTTTAAGTTCAAACAAAAAACCATTGCAGAAATTGTCTCCATATCTCGTTTTCTGTTTGCATTGCAGCCATAGAATAGAGTGAGAGCATCTTCTTCTTCTTTCAATTCCCTACCCACACAGAAAAAGTCAAAGAGTACTATTTTGCTCTTACCATGGTCGTCTAGCTATATTAATTTGTTCTTACAAGGAAAATAGTCAACCCCAAATAAGACATAGAAATTTATGTGACTATAACATGCCATTGAATTAAATTTGTCAACATACCTAATGGTAAAAATTTAAATTTTTGCAAGCACGCCTAATGGGAGGGAGTACTTTGCCCTTCTTTCGTGGGTTTACCCGGCACAAATCTGGATTAGTCGGGCCGCGAGCTTTGGATACCATTGGTTAAAACCAAAAAATTTAAAATTTTGTTTCAAAATAACTTGTCAATTTTAAAGTTTGTTAATTAACTGATCATTGGTTCTAACCTAATTATAACCAACTATATCTTAACCCAACAATAGTTAATAAAAACTTGCAAAGAAAAATATATTCACTAAAATTTAATGCAGAATAAGAGATATATTGTATAGGCATAGGCATGTGAACTTGCCAGGATTCAAGAACTTATTTCTACTAAGCAAGTATTTTGTTCCTACAACAACAATTAGGAGTTGAATAGGAAAACAATAAACAAAAATTACTAAAAGGGATCTATGTATGAAAGATACATGTCCATATTAGATTACATCAGTCACATGCTGCTATTTGCATGAATGAAACTGAATATTTGTTGAACTGAGCTTGCTATATCTTCTGCTGTGAACCCAGATTCACTTGCTATCTGCACATAATGTATATACTACAATTAGTTATATTTTGACATCTTTAGGTAATTTCTTGCTGACTAAAATTGAGAAAGTCCGTTATATGTACCTTGACATTGAATGAATAAAGAACAGTTTGTTCAATGGTGGTAATGTTGGTATGCAAGATATTAAGCTGTAGATCTTCTAGAGCTGCAATAGTTTTAATGAGTTGACCTGGCCTTCTTCTAGAGAGGATCTTGATCATAGCATCAAATCCTAAAAGCTTTACTTCAACGTCAGCCAGGCAAGACTTGTTCTCTGCAGTTTCCTCATGGAGCCCGGTTTCGAATTCCATAAGTTTCATTTGATCGTTTGAAATAGGCAAATTAGGAGGAAAGAATGGCGATTGAGGTTGTTGAATTGCTGAAGATGAATTATCTCCCATCTGTCTTGAAGCTTCTCCATAAAGTCTTCGCCTTTTTTGAGATTCTAGACATTGAAGGAGTTGCTCTAATTCCCTAACAAACTCAATAGCTCCACCAATAATAGATGCTTGGTCTCCCTGCAAATTGAAAAATTGACACAGTCCAATCTTTTTTAGTATATTTTCAATCTTTATTAGATTATTTCAAGCAAGCTTTTATGGTATATTTCAAGAAAGAACTAGAAGATTGACCAAACGGTTTTAGATCCATTAAAAATCTTGATAAAAAAAATTTCAGTTTCAGATCCAGTACTTCTTGATCATGAATATCTGAATAGAATGAATTAACTAATGGATATCTTTGCTTCACAACAACATCTTTAATTTAACGGAAGCAAAATATAAATTTGATACATACCCTTTGAACATAAGACCCTGGCATAAGAGACCTCAAGACTCTAAGATGCTCATTCATTTGCTTCCTTCTATTTCTTTCTACTGCAATATGAGTCATTCTTTGACTTTCCACTTCCTCGCTAGTCTTGATAGTTCTTGGTCTTTTTCTCTTATTCTTTACTTCTGTTATAGCATTCTTGTTTTGAAGATCTTGATCTCCAACAAACTGAAGTTGCACCGAGGTATTATCCGAAACCCTAGCTTCTTCTTCTTCTCTAATAATCCTTTCTTCTCCTATCCTATTTTCTGCACCATTCACTACCCCTTTGAATCTCTCTTCATTTTCTCCATTTAGCTGAGGAACCATTAGAGACTGGTCCTCTCTCTTATCATTCAGTACTGGAAACTTCAAGAAATAAACTGGATCAATACCAGTTTCTTCTTCTTCAGATATTTTTGTTTGATTTAAAGCCAACTTAGGCCCGAAATCTGCAAATTGCATAACATCTGCAAAACTCAATTTATCTAAAGAAGTTGAACTGCAAAACCCAGCTGATATTTGTTGCTGATGATGATGATTATGAGGATTCCTAAGCATATAATCAATCATTCCATTGGTGTTATCACCGGAAGATTCTCCGATTCGCGATTTAATGAGTTCATGTTCTTGTTCTTGATGGTGATGGTGGTCTAGAGAATAGTCAAGACCAGTAAAAGTTGCCTGCAAGAAGCCAACAAGTTCAGAGCAATACAACATGGTAGCGAAATGATGTATCAATAAAAACATACAAGCAGAAATGAGGATAAGTTTAAAGGTAAAGATACTGTGTAGCTATCTTCTTTATCCATTGCTATATATATAGATGACTTTAATCGAAAACCCTAAAGTTATAGCTCAATTCATGCAAGGGACAAAACCCTAGTTAAATTTCAAGACGGGTCCTCCTCCTGAAAAAAAAAATGACAACCTAGTTAGTTCTAATTTTACAGCGAGTAACCGAACTCAATCCTGGGTAATAAAAATGGCTAAAAAAAAAAAAAAGTTAATCTACCCATAGTTTTGGTCGATAAGTGCAAGATTTAAGACAAAGAAGTTGCATGGAAGTTAGGGGAGATCATAAACCTGATTGGAGAGAGAGAGTATAATAAGACAAAGGATAGAAATGAAGTGGGGTTAGGATATTAGAAGAGAAAAAACTAGCATGGGGTACCACCATGGAAGTTGATTTTACAAGAACTGAATTTTTTGCAGGAGGTGGAGAGATGTGTCTTATATATATATGATTATGATGGGCCAAGCTTGCCTGGAAAGAGCTGGCTTTGACTTTGGAGATAGAGAAAGAGAGGGAGAGGAGCCTCAAGGATTAATGTAGACCTCAAATATTTACCAATATGTATCACTTAGTCACCTCCCATTATTAATGGGTGTCACAGGCAAATAACGCTCTTCACCTTGCTTTTTACCACCTCTTTTCATGACCCTAATTAAAGAGATGAAGGCTGCTGATTTCAACTTTGAAAATTAGACAGCATAATATATATGGGATTTGCATGTGACTGTCTCGTGTGATGCCTCTAATTTATACGATAAGGTAAAGGATATGTGTGTGTGTATATATATATATATATATATAATAATTAATGTCATTCCACTCACAGTGTATGCATGCATATGCATATGTATACACAGAGGAGTTAAATATGGAGTGCTTATTATAGTTGAAGGTGTGTACGGTTTGATTATAGTTTTAAGTTTTTTTTTAAAAAAAAAAACTTAAACTATAAATTACAGCTTGATATATATATATATATTTTTTCAAATACAACCAAATTATTTACAAATAAAAATAACCATAATACTATGCTTAGTTGTTTTATTACAATTTGGAGTTGCATCAAATCAAATAATTGTCTTTGAACAATTAAGCTTCCAAATTTTTCTAAAAAATATTCAATACATATAAAATAGAAATAATGATTAGATGATTTAATGTCCTAAATATCAGAAATAATACAAATTATTTAGGAGGTGAAACAAAACCAAATTACCAAAATTAATTCGATTGGATTCATATTTAAAATTTAGATCAAATGTTATATATATATACCCCAGGTTAATGTCTTAAAATTCGAGACCCCAGTTGCATTAAATAGTAAATACCTTCATTCAGCATTAATTTATAATTAGGTGGTAGTTTTTCCTGCATACTAATTTCCCAGGTAGAATAATGGTATTAGTCAATCTGCCTTTTATTAGTTACTTAAAAGAAACAAGGATATAAATAGAATTGTCACCATATATTAATTTTGCATCACATGCTAATTAGAAAGAAAATTCCACTACAAGACGTAGCAAGGCAAGCAAATTTGAATTTGTAAATCAAGATAAAGAGTCAGTATAATAGAGACGTTCATTCAAAAGAAACATAAATGCATCCATGAGTTTTTATTGCCTACAATTTTGTTAGTCAAAACGAAACAAACATGATCAACCAACCAAATGTAAGAATCCAACACCCAAATATTGACGCTACAACAAGGATCATAAAACAGTGGAAACTCAACAAATGAAAAAGTCCCAGCATCAAGTGCATATTCAGAAAATCACACTAATGATAGTAAATTAAAACGTAAAATGACTACAAAATGAACTTCAAAGTTTCATTCTCATGACATCTACAGAATGTCCTACTATGTGTTGATCATACACATGTCACAATTCATTTAAGTATGTAAAAAAAATTGTTCTACTTGATATCAGAAGAGCTGCAAATAAGAAAATCCCCGACATGCAGGCACACTTTCGCCTTGGTTTGGGCCGTTGCCATGCAAAGATCAAACAAATGATCGTTCAAGCACATTTTGATTCTCTCCTCGGGATGAAAGCACAGTACATCTTGAGTGAAGACCATGTAACAATCGCTATGATCAGAATTACGAGGTGTATTCAAAAGGCTGAGGAGGCTGAGGTTCCTCATCAACAGCCATGGCTGATGCTGAACCTTGCTGTCCTGTAGCTGAACCGGCAGCAGGTGACACATTGGATGAAGGTGCATCTGTAAGAGAAAGCACCTCTGGTTCGGATGGCTGCAAGTCTCTCAGGAGGACAAATCCTGAAGGTGCTAATTTCACTGGTGCATACCTGCTATCTTCCATAAACTTGATAAATTTCTCCTGAGCAGGAACCACTCTGGCTGGGTTGGTCAAAATTTCAAAAGAAGGCTCAGGCTCTGCTTTCTTCTCTGGCTGGTTATCAACCTATTAAAAAAATGTAATCAAGAGTAAGTGACCATATCTGATAACTTAAATCATTCTCCGAACATGTGTTCTAAAGCTTGAGCACCCAGAATGTGCATGAAAAAACATAATTTAGCATTCTTTCTAAAGATCACCGTGAAACAGCAATGCAAAAGTCAAGTAGGAAAAAAATAAAATTGCACCAGAACTAAGAAAGATATTAACCTGCATAGAATCGCCATCCTTCTCGCTAGATGATTTCTCTTTTCCAGCATTTGATGCTGCAGATGAAGACTCTGCCCCACCAGCTGCCTTTTCAGCATGGGCCTTTTGCTCTGCTTCTTTCTTGGCCCTAGCTTTGGCTTTTGCTGATGTTGACAGAACAGCAGTCGGAAGTTTCACAGCAGATGTGGTAGTTGGCACAGTGGTTGGCTTTGGATACTCAAACAGAGAAGGTTTTGCATTTGATATGAATTCGAATTTTGGAACTTTCAAGTCATAGTTCAGCCCAATGAAAGCTGTGGGCGAGAATGATAAGCTTATGAAATAAATCAGAGGATACCAATACCAAAACTGGCTAAAAACAGCTAGGCCAACTACTGCAGTGACTTTATCATGTTTTGTCTTAGAAAGTAATCTTATAGTTACATTCCTTCCACCAGCATCAAGTATCCCAGAAGCAAGGATTGCACCCATCTTGCTCATGGTGTCTTCATGCTTATCAAGAATTATCTTCTCCAATTGTCGCCTAAGATGAAATAGCAAAAAGAACAACATTAGCTTTTCTCAAAATGAACAGGATATAAAATGTGCATTAGATGTTAATAGGCGTTTAAATAAAACAGTGAAGGTGATTGCAATAATGATGGGGTACCTAAATGTTCCAACACGAGAATCACTGGCCTCATTCATCTGCACCATGACCATTGCCATTGCAATAAGGGCACCTTGGCGAACAAAGTCAACAACATCTGATGTCAAAGGTTCAAGCAATGATATAGCTTCACTCAAGCCAGTGCCTGCACAGGAAATGCCTACTGCAAGAGCTGCACCATATCGTACATGTGGGTTGTAGGATTCTGACAGCAAGGAGACAATTCGAGGAGTCTGCAGTCACATGGTATAGTGAGATTTACCACATTTCATAGCACCATAGTGTTCATTGGAGCACATACAACAGAAAAGGCCAAAAGTAAAACAGAGGGAGGTAATATTTGACAAAAATCAGAGAAAGAAAAAACAAATATAAGAGAACAACAACGACAATAGCTTTATCAGGACATTGACCAAAAAGAGGAAATGGAGAAGTCAAGAACAAAACCTGCTCTGGCTCAGAGTACAAGACAAATCCAAGTGCAAGAACAGCAGTCCTCCTGACATCGTCGCTCACATCTGACACAGCAAAGTGCAGCAACTGGCGGATGGCCTTGTTGTTTGCTGTTCCCCTATAAGCCAATGCCAATGCATACATGCCACCATAACGAAGTATTGGATCCTGATCCCTAATCATCTGCTCAATTAGTGTATCTGCTTCTTCTTCTCTTCCATAAACTGTAAGTGCTATACCCAATGCCAATCCTCTGCAAAGGAAAACATTATAAACAAATCAAAGAGCATAACTCAAGGCTCAGCCCCATGTAGAGAATGTGAAACAAAATTTACCTGATGATCTTCTCATGCTGTGTCTCATGAGCATAAGCAAGCATCTCACTTGCTTTTTCACTTGCAGTTCCCACCATAAGCAATCCCATACTGATGCCAGCAGCTTCACCGGCAACAGCACTATCAGTGTACAGAGTACTCTTGATGTCATCATAAATTTCTTCATCAGCAGTTCCTAAAGCTGCCAAACCCAGACCTAGGCATGCACCATGTTGAATGACCTGCGTCAGGTATCCCAATATTAATTCCAGAAACATCAGAGGCCTCTTTGTTCAAAAGAGATCTATAGCAAACTTAGAAAGTAAACACACCTCTACATTAGTGCTACGTAGGCTATCGCGAAGGAATTGTTTGATTCCCTCACCATGGTTTGCATGAATGAGGCCCAAAGCATAAAGAGCACCACCTTCTGAATATGGACTCCCTCCTCCACCTGATCCGCCCTGGGGTAAATAAGGTCTCATTAGTGACCTTCCTTGCTGCAGGTGACCTCTGTGAATAACACCAAGCCCTGCTGTCGCACTAAATTTGGCCCAATTTGTGGCTCTGCTCAACCAATCCTGATAGTTGATATAAGACAAAACAATAAGTAAATAATTAAAAAATATATAATACAAATATAAGAAAGAAATCCACACTTAACTTAAAAATGAGAAAAAGAAATCATTATAAAATTCAGATCCTTCACTCACTAGATTCTCCCTGAGGAAAGTATCAACAGTAGTTCCGGCATGCATAATTGCATTAGCATAAATAGTTGCGCTGTGACAAACACTATTCCTCATCTCAACAGACTGCTTGATTGACTTCAGAATAAGGAGATCCGATCTATTTGCAAATATCAAGCATTAGTTACAATTCCTCTTTCACAGTTCCTCCAGCAAAAGAGAAAACATTTTATAGAAATAAAAGATCACTTCTGAATTTAAACAACTTAAAAATGGTAAAGAAACATCTGTCTCACTTGTTATGACTGTATAGAAATTGTAGAGTCAACTGAATCGATGTCTCTCCGGACAAAATTCCCCTAATTTTTGTCAGCCTCTCAGCATATATTGCTTCATTTGGATCTGTTTCATGTGCAATTGCAGTTGAAGCTGAGGTCCCTTCTGTCATTTGAATATCCTCTGGAGCAGTAGAATTTTCATTTTGTGCAGGCTCTGCCTGCACTGTCCCTGAAGATTGAGCCTTTGGAACTGAAAGGCGGTCTCTGACATTTAATAGAAAAGCCTGGTGCTCATTTTCCACAAGATCAAAGGCTATTTGAAATGCAAGCAAAACATCATCAGTGTTTGAAGAACGCAGAAGCTTTTCCAGTATGCTTGCAACACCTTCAGGTTCATCCAAGAACATGAGACATTGACAAATGCTCAAATAATCAGGAGAAGGCAGATTTTGATACACGTTAACAAGAAGACGAAGCACCTGTAGATATTTTTTTAAAAAAAAAAAAAAAAAAAAGACGAAGACCGTTGTAAGATATTTTTTTTAAAAAAAAAAAAAAAAAAAGATGGTATTTTTTTAAAAAAAAAAAAAAAAAGATGATCAGCCTGTGTCACTGATATCTTTTAATGGACATTAAAGCATCCCGTGATTTGGTCCATGGAACATGGAATGAAGAAATTGTCACTAAAATGAACCCAAGTACAATTGCCGCAGTGCACTCGCCATAACTTAAATATCAATCATAGATCTTTTAGCTCCCTTACCTCGCGCCGATATTCTCTACGATTAACAAAAGCATGAGACACATTGATGCAATATGACAAAGTTCCATGAACATTATCACTCCTTGTTATTGCTTCCTCAAGTTTGTCCAATCTTCTACATTCAATTGCAATTCCCATGGCTTGTTGGTATTTTCCATCCATGATACACCTAAATGAAGGAATTGTAAGAAACTAAGAACTATAAAGATATATCATATTACAGAAGATGGTGTTTGCATACTTATCCAACATTCTCTCCACAATTGCCTCTAGCCTAGGGTCCACATTTGCTGCTTCAGCATTTGACTCCGTTAACTTTGACTTTAGACTGGCATACTCATCTATAGCCTTAGCTGAGGACATGAAAAGAGACAATGTCAAGTAAGCAAACCACAAAAACATCATCAAACTTGCATGTATCAACAATAATTCTTAAATCACCAAAGTTAATGCAATCTAAATCTAAATTTTAAAACAAAACCAAATGATCATAGTTATCCATTAAACTAATAGATTCCCATCCCCCAACAGATAATTGTGTCCCAACAAATTTTAATGTCTTGGGTGACGTCACAAGTTTCCATGATCATACATGCAGATAGATGAGCATACGTACCAAGAAGAGTATGAACATAATCAGAATCCTCAGAAACGTCAAAAAGAGAACCAGCTCCAAGGGCATATGATAACGAATCATTTAGATCACCCAAAAAACAGAAAACCTGAGGGAAGAAACAGCAAAATTCACTTAAACAAAGTAAAAGTCTCAAAAATCAAATATTTAAGACGTGACAAGCCAAGGTGTCTTACTTCCTATACTTCTTTTCTTGCATTTAAGTTCAAAAAATTAAGAAAAAAAATCATTAAAAGATATTAAGTGAATGAGGCTTGTGAAAACATTTAAATCTAAGGAAAATGTTCCAAAAGACAGCCCCCATAGACGAGTCCCAGCTACATCTAATTCTTAATGATACACCAAAAGAGAAAAAAAAAAAAAAAAAAAAAAACAAAAAGGTCAACTTCTTTGCCTTGATTCAATGTTTTAGTCTCTACATGTTGATTTGCTTATATTTTGCTTGTTGAAATAGAAGTCGTGAATAATATACCATGATTAAGAGATTTAAATAATTATATGTTTTATGAACTTAGATATTAAGGTATTAAATATGACATATGAAATTTTTCTTTAAACCTCATTGCCAAAAGAAAAAAAAAAAAAAAAAACAAAAACAAAAAGGTTGTAAAATAATTAAAAGGTGAAAGGCATAGCCCCCAAAAAGGAACATCTTTAGGGACACAACTTCCAAATACTAGGTTAACCAACCTCATTGCACATATTGATATCTCATTCTAATACACAAAGGCCTGTGCAAGTAATGGCTTGTTTACCTATGCAAGAAAACAAGAAGATTATTTGGATAAAAGCAAGGGGACTTTTAAACGTTCTTCTAATTGTCTGATTGAATACTAGGAAACGAATAGAAAGGCATGAATTTTGAAAAGCCATAGTCGCTATACTTCTGGACAGTTTAAGTAGTCCATTTATTTTATCTGCATCTTCTGTCCATGAGAGGATGGAGTGGGGAGAAAGGAAGGAGAGGAGTAATAACTTAAGTAAATTACCTTGGAAACAACCAGCGCAGCAAGCTGTCTCTGATCAAACTCCTCATCTTCATATAAACTCTCTCTGCACAAGAGAGCAATGAGAATTCATATCAAAAGGCATATTAAATAATACACTCCAAACAACCATAATGTTCTCAAAATCAAAACTGAAGGAAGTCCTGGAAATAATGCCATCTACACTCACTAGAATATAGATTCAAGTACACTGATAAAGGCAAAGAAAACAAATAATCTATTACAGCCCTATTGAAAAAACAACAATTCAAGTGGAAAAGAGAAAAAATCTATTTAATTGTGCACAACACAATCACTTGAACTATAACTACAGATTTCTTCAGGACGTTATCATTTAATTCTGTAATATTATATCAATTTACCTGTTCCAATTAAAGTTTAAACAGAATATGTCCATCCCTCTAAGCAATTTATGTATTCACACTCTCGTCCTGGATGCAATAATACTGAATTGAGTTCTATAAGGTTATCAGTCAGCATAAGGTCTTCATACTAGCTAGCTGATATATCAAGTATCAACGCAAAACACAAGTTATAGATTGACATAACTTTGATAAATAAATTTTCCGCACTCTCCATTGCATACCAAAGCGCCCAGTAATACATTTATTGTAGGTTGCTATAAAAACACCAAAACCCAGATTTCTATGCCCAATGGAAGAGTCCCATCCCCAAAACTGTATAAAAATAAGGCCTTTAAAACTCAAAAAACTATCTGGACACAATGTACCAAGGCAAAAGAAGCAAACATTTTAATCTCGGGACCTAAAGGGAAAGAAAATTCAATCAGACAGTGGAATTCAAACGAATCAAATTTTCAAACTTGAAACCAACCTAAAAACCCATTACGTATACTGCATAACAATTCAATTAGACCAATTTTACTGGGAAACAATCAATTTTCTCGCCTTCTACCCTATTTACCCACTTTCTAAGTAAAGAATCATATCAAAACCCTAGACCTAAAAATTAGCTAAAATCAATTAAAATATAGAGAGGATAAAGAGAGTTACATCAAAGGCACACTGGTGGAGATCTCAGGCCAGCACTGATCCACATATTTGTTGAGCAAAAATAAAGCATGTTGCTTCAGTTGCGGCTGCGCCTCGTGAAGCATCGCCAGCAAGGCAGGGGCGATGCTCACCATACTCGCCGGAGCGTTACTCACTATAGTTGCCGCCATTGATTTGGCAGAAACCAACACAGGTTATATTTGCTTTGAAAGAAATCTAAGCAGAAAATGAAGGAGAGAGGAGTGTTTATGGAGGAAGAGAAGGGAAAGAGAGACACAGACAGAAAAGGGTATTTTAGATTTTTTTTTCGTTTTATGCAGTAGGCGTTTTTTAAATTTACTAAACTTATTGTACAAGTCAAAAAAAATTCCTATTCCTTGTAGGTCAATCAGAAAATAAAATTCTTTTTATTTCAAAAATAAATTGCTAATACAATTAATTTATACAATTTTTGCTTTAACTTCTTATAATTTTTTAATTTTTCCCTCACATAAATATGAATAGGTGGTCAAATTATTTCTTTTATTATCTATATTTTAAGGGGACTTAAATTAATATTTAAAAAAAAAATATTAAAGAATAACAATAAGAATAATTTATTAATAGTTTATTTAATTTGATTATATCAACAATAACAATATTTTGATCTTATTATTTTGAATTTTCTTGATTAATTATTATTTTAAATTGTAAAACCTTAATTGATATCGATATATCATGGCACTGTGAATAAGTATCATAGAGAATAAGCCTCTAATGAATTAAAATATATTCCTATTAACTCCTTTTGAGCCTCGATATATATATATTATACCATATCTTTATGCTTTATGCCTCTTCTATATCTTTTTTCCTTTTTATCGCTCACCAATCAAACCTTCTTAAAATCTTATGTCTAAGGTGGTCAATTATTTCTTTTTCTTTTCTACTCTTTTAACGGGGTTTCATTATCTTTCCATACCGCTCATATAAGCTACATATTGCATCATTTTTTTTTATAATAGTTTACTTATATATCACATTTATGTTTCTTATGCACCTCCCCCTATATGATTATTGCTCTCTTAATTTTTATGACCTTTTCTTTGTAGTTATAAATTACTTTTTAATTGTTACACTTACTAATTGTATTTCATGTGAGTAAATTTCTTTAATCTGGCACCTGGAGGTCGCATCATGCAATATCATCAGCAGCATAGCTCTAATGACATTACAAAATAATAATGTGAATATTATACTATAATATACTAAATTATCTTATCTATTCTAGTAATTTTTTTATCATACTTTATTTTTTAAATAAATATTGTTCACGAGGCGTTCACTTCACTGTTTATTTTCCGCTATACAAGTTACCCTACCCTTCCCGGAGCTCGTGGTTAACCAATTGCATTCTACTTTGTTCTACTATTATTTGGTTATTATACCCTATATATCATTTTAATTTCTTATTGGTCTAAGTGTCGCCCTGACTTTTCTTTACCATTCCTTTTGTCTTTGGCCCTAGGCGTGTTTTACCTCTCTTAATCGTTCTATATGTTGTATAGTGTGTGGTTTGTTTGATTCCCATTACTTCTTACGCCCCCTCCTTTTTTACTTCCACTCCTCTTGCATATCCTATTTTCCACACTCTTTTGTTTAATATATTATTTGTTGTGTAACCAGTTGTTTATATCATATCTTAATCGTAGTAGAGAAATTCCTGCGCGGTGAATTTGCGCTTAGCTTTCATCCTTTAATTTTCCTTTTTTGCTATTTTATATTTTTTTTTCTCTTAGCTCGACTTGGCGAGCTTGCTCTTATATATGATATATATATGAGATTTCACGCCTTTTATCTCTTCATCCTATTACCATGTGTATCTTTTCCTGGTATTTTCGCCATCTCATATTCTACTTGTCCCCTTTAATGGCTTATCATTTAGGGTGTTCATATTATGATATATATAACACTCGCCTTTGGGTCGTTCTATTCCACTTTCGATGCGTCTTATTTCTCTCTCAAGGCCTAGATATATATATTATCTGCCTTCTATTATCTCTATATATAGGATATAATAATTATATATTTCACACTCAACATTAAGTGGTGTGGGCTTGTGTTATTGCGTTTTATACTCTACTTTTTCATTGTCCAACTCTCCTGCGCATACAATATTTTCTTATTATTATTATTCTCTAGACCTGCTCAGCTCATTGCACTTATCACTTCTTTCACATTCATGTGTTTTGTTAGGTGTCCGCATCCATAGAATATATATATATATAAGATCATCACACCCATGCGTAGCAATTGCGTTCTTACACCTCTACAGTTTCTTCGGCTCTACTTCTACATGCATAAATATAATATATATGGATCAGCTCTACCATTATCTTTTCAAATAATGCCGGCTACGTAAAAAAGGGCAACTCAAAAACAAGCGGGCGTTCCATAACATATATTTTGTAGAGAATCATTCAAATGTTATTTACAGATATAAGTAAAAAAAAAAAATGCTAAACATTGATACTTTGCCTTTAAATTTTATATTTTGTTATTTTCAAATAATTAAATACTAAATTATGTATTGAATGTCCTGATTTAAGCAATTACATTTTGTATTATGGCCAAGTTTTACTCATAGTATATATTTAGTTTGTTTGTTTGCCTTAATTTATTAAAGCAAAATCATTTTTTATTAAAATCATATTGATTATCTAATAATTTACACTTTATATTTTGTTGAAAAATTTTAAATTTCTAACTAGGGCATGACCAAACTGACGGTGATTTGCAATTAAGAATCATCTTTTTCTTTTTTTTTTTTTTTTTTAAGAGATGGGGCTTAATTATTTATTTAAAAGAGTTTAAAGACAAAATATTCACATTCAATGTATCTTTTCGTTTTTAAGAATATTTTTGCCCCTTTAATGGATATTTGTTTGTTTGTTAAAAACTAGAACTTTGGCCTTCTAATTTCATTTAGATGATCTAATCCATGCATTGAAATGGATATGACTCGAATTATATATATATATATATTTTTTTTTTACATTGAGATGGATGTTTAAGTTTTATATATGTTTATTGTCAAACTATAACTGCGAATTTTTTATTATTATTATTATTAGAAAGAAATACAAAAGAGACAAGATTAGAATAAAAAAAAAATACAACGTGCTTTCAAGTTATTAAAACAATAAAACTGTTAAGTTAAATTACATGGCAACATGAACATCAGTACATGAGTTTCCAGTTCTCGGTTCTTGCACGCTCTTTAACCAACTCACCACTTTCAATATGGATATTTCAGGGCATCAAAAGAGCGGGACGTCCATAATGGCCCGCAAGAAACCCATTAGTAGGATTGAAGAATTACAGGAGGACAGGACACAATCCCCATCCATAGCAAATAATGGAACCTACAGAACAAACTAATACAAACCAAGTCCAATACATGGAACATAATTAGAGAATTGAAAGTTAAGATTTGGATGTCCAATGACAACTCTAAGCATCATATGCCTCAAAACCCAAACTAAAAACATTTAGATAAACAGTGAATCAGATCATAAAAGTGCAAAAGATCAGTACCTGCTTCAAGGATACAACAATGGCTAGCTCCATAGTTGTGATCTAAACTAACGCAAGGCGATGGGCAGTGCTCTAAACTGAATAGGAATATAAAATTGTACAGATTGCTAGCATAAACACATACATGGGCAGTGAAGCCCATGTCATGATCAACAGTTAAGCAGCCTTACCAACGTCTGTGTGGCACAATACCAAATCCCATTCGAAACCTTCGGATACAAAACGCAAGGCACGTGTATCAACTAAAAGTGATCAAGCCTAAAATATCAAACAGATGGAGTTAAATTGAGATGAACAAAAACAAGGCCCTCATCGAAATTACAAGTATTCATCTCTGGAGAGAAATCCGCCTTGCCTGTTAACTTAAGGTGATGCTCGTTGATTCCTCCAATGTCAGCTTCAGTTGTGAGCACCCACATATCACACATGCATTCGCACAAGGGATGTGATTGTAGAAACACGAAATATACAAAAAGAATCCGCTGTTACGAAAATTATTAGACACATTCAAAACTCTGAGGCCAAAAAGATGGACACAGAAACAAGTTTGAGCCAACAGTAAATTAGACTTACTGATTGAAAACATCAAGACCTTTATGTTCACGTTTGCATCCACATTTCCCTGCCCCTCGTAGGTAGTGCTACCGAATCCTTCTTGTTACCTTTAATTAGAAAGGCCAACGAACAAAGATCAACTAAATTTAATCAAAATGATCTGTGAAACAAATGAAGTGACGAGTGAGCTAAACTTGAAATCAATTAACAAAACAGCTATTGAAATTACATGAATTCAGGTCTTGAAGGACATTCGCCATACTAGCTGCTAGCACCATTTGCAACTTCGTTAAACCTTCAATTTCAATTTCAGTTGTGAGAACCCACATAGCACACATTCATTCACACAAGGAAAATGATAACAGAAACCCGAAATACACGAGAGCAAATGCTGTTATGAAATTAATCAATCAAAACCCTGAAGTCAAACACATGGACAGTGAAACCAGTTGTTTAACCATTAATCAAAACCCTAACCCTAAAAGTAAAAGAGATTGCTAAAACAAATGCACACATGAATGAAGAATAAAGCTTGGCTCATAAATCATAGTGAACAGTAATAAAATTAGTCTTCGGAGGATCTATATTCGATTTATAGGTAAGTTGAAGCTGCTGCCACCAACTCCGCTTTGCACCCTTCAATTAGAAAGCCAAAGCTCATTAATCAGCAAAAATGGCAAATAAATGGATTCACAAGTGAATTAAAAAAAAAAAATGTAATTAAGAAAAACAGAGCCTAGTTCACGTTACCTGGAGATAGAGTCAGGTTCCGGGCATCTTCCCTCGTTTTTCCGGTAGCTCCCCGTATTTCTGCCTCTGTCTCTGCCATAGCCAGCTCCTACCATCCTTCAATATCAGCAATCCTCCTTCAATATCAGCAAGCGTTGAGAACTTTTTATGCGCATCGATTTACATCGACAGTTACCTCTGCCATAATGGGTGGGCTATCTAATAAGATCCACTATAGAAGCCCGAATCCATTTGCAAATCCACTTTTGTTATCCAAATCCATTAGCAACCCGATTCCAATTGCCTGTTTAATAGCCAAAATCAATTTAACACTATTTTTTTTTTTTCATTTTTTATTTTAAAATAAAAAATAAAAAATTGTAAAATTTTATTTTGACTTAATATTAAATAGTATTACTTATAATTAGAATAGAAAATAATAATTATTTAAAAAAAAGTAAGTAAATGGGTAATCAGCATATAATGGATAGTAAAAATATCATCCCGAACTCCTTTATCAATTATATATTAAGGGATGCCATCATTTTAGAAGTTGCATTTATAATTTTTGGACAAATGAAAGGCCTCAGATATAATCAATGCACAAAAAAGTTTTTGTAGGACCACTTGTACCAAATTTCAAAAATACATGTTTGTACGCATCTCAGCAATTGAATTCTGCCATTCTCTCTAAAGTTAATTAGCATTTTTATAATCCACTTTAGTTATAAAATCATTCATTATCTTCAAAATGGAAACAAAAGAGATTGACGAGCATAAATTATTATTTTCATTGCATTAGTTTGACAAAAGGGTGTTGTAGTAGATGAAGGAAAAGACAATATTAGACTAATACTACATTGAATGCTTGTAAGGAAATGACTGCAGGTGCTTTTATTTGTTACAGTTTAACAGTTAATAAACAAATAGCCAAAGCTCATAGAAACAGAAATATCCCAAGTTCATAAATAAAATGGGGGACTCATCCTTTATGCGTATGAAGACAAATTTACCGTACCATAATAATCAAATGTTTGATTTTTAACTAATGCAATGTAGTGAAATGTAAAATTTTTTTTTTTTTTTCTCAATAATCAAAGCAATACCCAAGTGTGCAAGGTCGTACCTTGTTGAGGTCTATAATTGGCAAACAAGGAATTAATTAATGAGCATTGAATATTGATAGCAAGTACTAATTCCAAGATTTGACAAAAAAGAAAAAAGAAGAAAAGCTTCATAACTTCATTGGAAATTGAAGATTCTCTATAAAAGTTTCAACCAATGCACATTAGACAACACCCACCTCCACTAAACCATTATAATATCTTAATCACTATCATTACTCGCTTGACAAGATTTGTCTAAGCTTAAATGAAAAAAGCCATGACTATAACCATTAAAAGATTCACCAATTTCAACTAATAGATCAATCTTTTTCTACCCTTGAATGGAAAAATAATTTTCTAAATTTTGTTTCTTCATGTACTATTTCCGACTCTGTTTATGCAAAATTCAAAGATCTGGTAACGTTCAATTCTGTCTCTACCTAAAAAGCCCTAAAAGACAAGAAAATTCACAGTTGAACTTTGTTTTGCCAGCCAATTCTGAAATGAATAAAAACCCTTCTTCAAAATTTCCCATTTGAGGACCCATAGCTTCCCAATCTGACTATACAAAACAAATCCTTTAATTTCTTGTTCTTTCCTGTCCCTCCTATTAACAGCACAACCTGGAATTTCAGTTATTTAAGAACTCCATATAAGCCTTCTTCAACCTGCATAAATTTGTAATTACGGAGCATAAAAGCAAGTTGCAGAGAAGAAATTGCAATGTGAGCAATAATATTAGGGATGGAAATAATTATTTGGAACAACAAAACAAACAAAAGGAAATGCAAGCTACCCTACCACAACTACCACCGTCCACCAACCATTCTTACATTAAAGGTTAAAATAGCTAGTCTGTTATGACCAATTTTTGATAAAGACCGGTTATGGGCAGAATCATCTAAGTATTAAAAAAGATTAAAAAAAAAAAAGTCTCACGCTGAGAGAAATAAAAAGATACCAAAAATTAACAGTACAAAAAAGTTGGCAGATGATAGTAGAAAAGACAAAATATGAAGAGGGGGAAATGGGTCATCTTATTTATTCCAAAGAGGCTTTCAAAAGAGTTCCATCAGTACAAGTATAGACAAAGAAGGGGAGGAAAATACAGTACAAAAAGGAAATCTAGAAAATTTCTGTACCAGATAGACTGACCTAACTGACTGAAGCCTAACCCTAAGACCATCTTTCCCTTCCCCTCTCAGATGATCTGTTAGACAAAGGACTTTTGATTTGTATTTGTTGTGTAACTCTAACCCCTGTTATGTTACAGACCATTAGTCTACACAATTTTTCATAATCCTACTTCTTTCTTTACAGGTAAAAAAGAAAGGGTGCTGGGGTGATGGAAAATGGAAATAAAACCATCACCATTAGAACTAAAACTAATTCCTGCTATTTCAAAAATAATCCTAAGCTCAAGATCAACCGAGAATTTGCAGGAAAAGAAGTTCTGATGGAACATTAACGTCTTCTAAGGATCCAGTTTCTCCCATTCATAACGCCCAGGGAGTGGCTTGTCATTAACAGGGTCAAAGTTATACCTGTCCGAAAAAGAAAAAAACACAATGCTATTAGCTGATGATCGGCAAGTTTGCAGATGGAGAATATCAGCTAAGATAATTCAAAAATTAAAAGCAAAATATGGCAATCATAATGAACTGAAGTTGAAGGAATAGATTTACTTCTCAATAAATTGTCTCTGCTGCTCTTCTTCAGCTCTGGCAAAGAACTCATCCATTTCCAGCGATGTCGGGATATGTCTATGTGCAGAGTTCTGTATTCTCCTGTGAGTTTCAGTTGAGCTGGTTGGTCTAGTAGTCGAACCAGGGGTTCTTATGGTTTCTGGGTCCCTTATCAAACTGCAAGGAGTGGATTCCCTAGTGCTCCTGCCACAAAGACGATAATCATGATGCATGACCACACACAAGGTAACCCACATCAAATAATCTGACAAACAATATCATATATATCAATGATACAAATCTCACAGCACACAACTGAATTTTGCAGTAAGGACAATAAATACCAAGCTCAGGCAAAATAACCAAGCGAAAAAAAGATAATAACTAGTGAACAGTATCTAAAAGTCAAAACTTAATTTTAAAAGCTCATTAAGAACATCTACAACCATTTTTTATTATTCCTTCAACAGCATCCATCATGCAGGATCCATATGTATTTCAGCAAAAGAAATCTAATAATCACAATTAAAATTGCCCCAACTTTTTTTTTTTTTTTAAAAAAGGGGGTTACAATTCTATTTGTTACAAAAAGCAGCAAGATTTTTTTTTTGTTTGCTTCAACTACAGTAACAGCAGGGGTAAAGCCTTTATTTTCAATATCAAATAAAAAATTTCCTTTCACTTTGATATGAACCAAGCAAAACTTTTTCCATTCTTTTCAAATTTTTTTAAATAATACACACAGACAACTATTACAAATAAAATTACTTTAGGAAATCAGTTTCCATAGCTCAGCAGGTAAAATGAGCTGTATAACTCATTGCAAAGAGCTTTCCTCAAATCATGCAATGTCCAAATAGAGATAAAAGTAAAGTCAATTATGCTTTAAGTATATTATATTCAAATAGACACCACCAAGTGCAATGCCATTAGCATTAAAAAACTTGCAAAGGCATCCACCAAAAGAAAACCTTGATTTCTTATCATTAAACAATGAAGTTGTATTCATGACAGAGAACCTAAAGGTTATAGTATCATTTTAGCACCTGAAAACTGGAATTATACTATAAATGTCAACCAAATTAATGGAATAAGCAATTTAATCAGAAACGTAAGCAGCCATATTTCCAAAAAGAGATTGCAATGATACTTCAATATTTTCCAAACAGGGGAAAAGCAACAACTAGATCAAAAAATAAGCCACAGAAGCAAAACAAAAAATTAATTCCAACATTTCCAAACACAAAAGCGTTACAGAAGGAAACAATACTACAATTCACTTGCCCTGCAAAACAATTTAAAACATCAGAACTTCGAAAAAAACAACAGCAAAAACAAGAGGAGAAAAGGCAAAGAGAGGGAAAAAAAAAACAGAAATTACAAAACCAGTATACAACCAAGGGGAATCATTTCCCCCCTTTCTCACCAAAAGACCAAAGAAAACCAGTTTTTGGAAAGCAAAATAAACCCAAAATATCACAAAGGATTGATTAGGCCATAAATTCCCTTAATCAAATAGCACACAGCAGGGAGATGTTTCTAAGCACTCTTAAAAAAATGGAAAAATAAAAAAAGAAACGTAGGATGAGGGATGTCGGCTACAGACCCTTAAGGTCTAAAAATCTAAACGAATAAAATCAAATCCACAAGCAGGGGGAATTTTGGGTAAAACAGAAATAGGATACACCAACACTAATGGTTCAGAAATTTTCAATTCAATATATTTTTCCAGGAAAAGAAAAGGATAATCCACACAAAGAAAATCACAAAAGGTTGCGTGAATTTATGTATAAGAAGAGAAAAAAAAATTAAGAAGATGAATGGAACAATTCAGAATTGATGAGATTTTTACAAGAATAAAAAGTTAAAAAAAACTTCAAAAAGCAATCCTTAAAACTATTGCGAGAAACCCTAAAACCCCCACCCTACGATAATCAAGTTGATAAAATCAAAATCTGCCTCCCTTTTCCTTCTCTTTCTCTCCTGTTTCTAAGCAAACAAACAAGCTAATCACGAAACCCCTTAAGAAAACACTAAAAAATATTGCAAGCCAAAACCCAAAAATACCGAAACTATAATTACACCCTCAATTTACCGACAACAAAAGGCTAACAAGACCCAAAAGGAGAGAATAAAAGAAAACCTCAATCTTCCTTTTCCCACCAGGGAAACAGAAACAGAGAGAAAATCAAAACCCTAAAATAAAGTCCCAGAAGAAGACCCAGACTAAGTAAAAGGATTACTAAAAGAACACCCACCTCTCTCTACCTTCAATGTCCAAAACATTTTCCCCAAACGAAGCCTCAATGCCCAAATCCTTACTCTCATTAATATCATTATTGTTGTTGTTTTCTTCGCAATCGCTTTTCTTCTCTTGAACCTCTTCCTTATTTTCTCCACTCACTTCATTCTTCTGACCCGACCCGTCAGTTCCAGAAACCGTTGAGCCAACCCGCACTCCGGAATTGGGGTTAGGGTTTTGCGCCTCTTTATTTTGGCTTTGCTTTTGCCGCTTGGAATCATTTACAAGAGTCGGCGGCTTAACGAGGCGGCGACTACGTAGCTGGAGGTACCCAGCGGAGCCCGGAGACGACGGAGCGGAAGAAGCAGGTTGTGGTTGAGGAGGAGAAGCGGGCAATCTGGCTTGGCGTTGAAGAGCTAGGGTTTTGGCGCGGGTACGGACGCCAAGAGAGAGGTCCATAACGGCAACCTCGCCTGTCGTTTTTGCCTTCCTCATGTATTTGCCCATTTATCTCTCATGGACAGTCTTAGAGAGAGAAAATCGGGAGGTTGTTTTTGCAGTTGGGAAGGAGAGAGGATTTGAAAGAAGGAAGAAATGAGACGAGACGCTGTATTTATTCTTGTACTTGTGAGTGAAGAGGAGAAAGTTTACGCTGTGGGCCCTCAGGGTGTTATACTAAATCGACAGTTCTTCAATTTATCGTGAGAATTTTATATTTCTTTCATCTCATCTCTCGCCATTTTTTTAATAGTAATAATTTTTATTTATGTATGGATAATTTCGTGAGCTATAATAATAAATTTAAGATATGCAACTTTATGTTGGTAATATTTTTTTTATGGGACAACATTGTATTTGCCCTATGCTAGATTTTTTTTGTAATTATATTGCTTTAGATGGATTGATTTTCTTGAGAAAATTCTATCAAAAGCATCTTTAGTAATTATTGTTAGCTTATTTTTTTATAATTCTCGATTTTTTATCATATTAAAATTAAAATGTCGTTTGATGTCGATGGAATATGAAATTCATACATTTTACAAAATCTATAGAATGAAGAATCTATGTGTGTAAATGTAATAGAATGTCTTTTTTTATCGTTTTAGTTGAAAAAACATAATTCGTGGATTTATATGATATTTTTGAAATAAAATTAAATAATTTAAATTATGTTATCAATAAAAATGATGGAGTTGAAAAATCTCATTTTAAGGTGAGATTTTCTCTCTTTTAAAACAATAGAATTGAATTATGGTGAAATCTCTCAATTCGATTCGATGGGTTATAGTCTTTTCTATTTCCTTCAACAAAGAAATTTAGCAAATTCATGGAATATATATCATCAATGCCCAATGACCTCGAAGATAAATTACATAAGAGGAATATTCTTTCAATTTCTTTATAAATTTTACCAATCTTTTCAAAATTCAAACTTGCAATTTTCTTATAAAAATTGAAGTTTTGCTTGTTTAATTGTTAATTAGCTATATAATATTTGCTTGTAGATTATAATCATTTTTTTCTACAATTTTCTTATAGTTTTGCTTGTTTAATTGTTAATTAGCTATATAATATTTGCTTGTAGATTATAATCATTTTTTTCTACAATTTTCTTATAGTTTTGCTTGTTTAATTGTTATTGTTTAATTGTTAATTAGCTATATAATATTTGCTTGTAGATTATAATCATTTTTTTCTACAATTTTCTTATAGTTTTGCTTGTTTAATTGTTAATTAGCTATATAATATCATTTATTTAATCCTTTGAATTTTTATATATATAATTTAATATAATTAATTGTACATCAAAATTTAACTTATTTAACATCTAATTTAATGATTTTTATCTATTATCATCATATATTGTTAATCTATATGATTCAATTAAATATAATTAATTAGTTAAAATTTTCAATTTGGGTCAATTAATAAAAATTTGGACTATCTGATACACCCATTTTATGATATTTCTTTTGACCCGAATTTATTGGATTCATATAAATAAAATAGGTTTTGCCCTAGAAGTTAAAGAAGGCTCTTGGATGACATTGTTGTCACTTTTCACATTTATTCTTCTCTCTATTTTCAATCAATAAAAATTTGGATTATCCGATACACTGGTTTGACCCGAATTTATCGAATTCATATAAATGAAATAGGTTTAGCCCTAAAGCTTAAAGAAGGCTCTTGGGTGGCATTGTTGCCACTTTTCACATCTATTCTTCTCTCTATTTTCAATTGTTTTGTTTTCATTTATAGCCGTTTTCTTACGCTTTTTATCAAACAAGTCATTAATCTCTTCCCTCTTATCAAGTTATTTTAATAAATTATAAAACTACAATCTATATGAATCACATTTGAAACAAAGACAGTGGAAAAGATCTGAGAATTGAATAAGTCACTTCTCTTTTATGCCGAATGAGAATCTGCTAAAAGCTCCATTCATTTAAGAAATAAGATTTGGAAGTACTAATTCTTGTGTCTTTTTCTCTACAACGGACCTTACACTTAGATCTACAAAGGTATTATTTCTTGCTCCAACTTTTATTTTATATTTCTTTGAACTTCTATCTTGCATCATTGCATTTTAAGTATTACTAATATACATAATTGTACTGAATAAAATCAATTAACTAAAAATCTTCAATGTAAACAGCTAACAAAAAAGTGAACTAACTTGATATACCCATTTCATCCGATTACTCTTAACTCAATTTTTTCAGATTCATGCAAGTAAAACAAGTTTCGAACTAAAACCTAAAAATACCTCTTGACTGGCATTAATACCATTTCATGATGGACAACAACAAATAAAACAAAATATCAACGTTTTATTCATCGATTTCACATCTATTTCTCTCTTTATTTTCAATTGTTTTTTTTTTTTTTTCATGTTTGCTTTCTTCATTTTTTTTTATTAAAAGTATCATTAAATTTGCCTTCTTATCAAGCTCTTTTAATACGATTTGATGCCGCAATTGTGGATTGTATTTCGAACAAATATAGTTAATAACCGATAAAATTTGAGAATACGACAAATTTATTTTATGAATGATAATCTATTCGAAGCTCCATTGATTTTATTTTTGTAACCGATGTTGTACTTAGATCTACAAGATATTTATATTTGGACTGAATTTAGGTTTCTCTATTTATTTTAATTACTTCTATCTTGCATGATTGATATTTATTTTACAATTAATCATTCTCATATATTAGCATTACATTTTAAAAATAAATAATTTATATGATTCTATTGAATAGAATTAATTAATTAGAACTTCCCAATAATGGTAATTAAAGAATGTTATAATTTGTTTATTGGTTATACTCTATTAAGTGAAGGCCAAAATAATTAAAACTTATTTTTGTAATTTTACGGAGTTATTTTTCTTAAAATAATAAATAAAAAATAACTTTATATAGTGTAATTTATTTACAATCCACACAAACAAGCTAATTTTATCGCGATATGAGCAGAAGAAGCCGAGATATAAAAAACCGAATAAGACGGCCAAGTCATTGGATACCCTTTCCAAGTGGCCAGGTGGAAAGTGCTTTTTGATTATTTTACGTTTCACTTTTATATTTTTCTTTGTTCAGGTCGCCACCCCTACCCTTCTGCTGAGAAATTGTACGACACGCGCTTTTTCACTGTTTTTTTCGCTGACAGCGACTCGCTTCCGTAATCCTCAGACGGTCGTTAATACTATATTGTTCTAATTCGTGGTGAATTTATTATTATTTACATTATTTTTTTATTATGACAAAAAATTTTTAAAAATTTTAATTACTAAAAAATTAATTCCTTTTGATTGAATAATTTAACTTAATAGTAATTTTAAGTTTCAATAACTTTATTTTAAAAAATCATTTTAAATGAATTCTAAGAAAAAAAAATTTGTGAGCTACACGTAGTCCCTCATTAAAATTTTTTAAAACATATATTCATTTTTAATGATTTTTCTATTTATTTATTTGAATTTCTAATCTTTTTCAATTCTTCGTGCTTTTAAATTTTTGAATATTATTTCCATTTTAATTTTTAAATTTTGAAATAATTAAGACCACTAATTAATCATAAGCTGCTCCATGTTGGACTTCAAACTGATTAATGAAATTAAAAAAGTTTAACTAGAGTTTATTTATTAAACTTTGAACTTGAATTTGACTAATTAATAAGATTAGTTTAATTAAATTCAAACTCTAATGGTTTATAGCTCTAAACATACAAAAAATTAATAATTAAACTACTATTTAAATTGGAAATGAAGAATTAATTTTTTTTAAAAAAATCAATTTTAGAATAATTTTATACTAAGAAAGGGAATAATATCTATCTCTTTTAGTTGCATGGCAGATTGCTGGGTTAAATTCAGGCATGAATAGGGACTGAGCAGTATTAAAAGGGCCTTCTGTCTCAGTATTTGGCTAGTGTCCCCCACTTTCTCTCTGCATTATGTTTTTTTGTCACTTCAATTTCAATTTTATCTTTGTCACAGTATATCAAATCGGGAACTCATTAATTTTTTTGGACCTTCAATTTTATTTTTTCAGAAAAATATATGTAAACATGATTTATATAATCAAGCTAAAAATATTGAATATCTAATTTCTATATATTGTATTAAACGTTAAAGTAATTTGCTCGTTCTAACGACTTTTATCCGTCGTTTTTTCATCCAAAATTATGTATGTTTTTCAAAATAGTAAGAATTGTTAATTAATTTTTTGAATACACCCTTGTTTTTATTAAGCAAAATAATTATTTTCTAAAAATTTCCTAAAACACATGTTATCACCTTTTTTTTAAAACTTAAATTCTAGTAGAATTGCTGTGATTGAAGTAATTAAACGAGGTAAACAGTAATTTAATAAATTATTTTTTATTATAATTTAAGTAATTTAATTACGTTTCAATTTTTGATTTGATTTAAATGACATAAATAAAAAAATTGCACGGTAAAAATGAGGCATGAATAGAGACTAGGCAATGTTCAAAGAGGGTTGTGTCTCTGTTTGGTAAGTGTCTCCCACTCTCTCTGTGCAGTCTGTTCTGCACATAATCTCTTTTTTTTTTTTTTTTTTTTTTTTTTTTTTGTTTTGTCGAATAATTTCTTTTTTTTTTTTTTTTTTTTTTTGTTTTGGTTTTGTGACTGAGATGTATATTAAATTTTTTATTTGGGGAAAAGATGAAAATATCTTCAGAAATGGCCATGAAACTTAGCTTCCTTTTTTTTTTTTTTTTTTTTTTTTTTTGTGTGTGACTGAGATGTTATTAAATTTTTATTTGGGGCAAAAGTGAAAAATTCTTCAGAAAGCCATAAACTTAGCTTCCAAGAAAGAGAACACTCAAGGCTCTTCTTCAAATGGTTAAAATCTTTTGTGGGTTAATGCAAAAGCAGACCTCATAATTGGTTTTAAATTAAAAAAAGGTAAAAAAATTAATAAAACTTTTCTTTTTCATCCTGCTGAATACAGAATTTTTGCTACCTGAAAAGGCCCTTTCTGCTTTCTAGGTTTAGATCCCCAAATATCCAGTCAATATGACGTCATTATATTTATTTATCAAATATAATTAACAATTAAA